AATTCAAAAGCGAGACCTGGGAAAAGATCTGAGAGGCGTAACCCGAGTAGACTTCTTTTCCAGGGAAAATTCAGAGCTCAATTCATTTAAAGCATCAAGAATCGCTTTAGAAGTATAAAACTGGTCGATTTCAGGCAAATGTTTGACCGGTGAGGCCAGGTGGTAATTTCTCGGAGACGTAGCGTGAATTGACCAAAATCATTAATTCTAGCGCAGGTAGAGAGGGTGAGAATGTAATTGGAATGTGGTGAAATGTTCCTTTACGATAGTTCTACTAAAGAATGCGAAAATGTGAGTTTTATTTCAAAGAAAATAAACGAGAAAGGGAAGAAGGAGCAAGAAAATCATGAAATTCAATAGAAACGAGGACAATATTTATTTTGAGCGCACACCAAGACAGTTTTTACTTTTATTTAGCAACTAAATCAAAGTTTTATAAGGTTAACGAATTATTGTCGATTATAAAAGCGGAACTGAACGATTTTGGCAATGACAGGGCAAGGAAAAGCGCAATGTTTAGGGATGAGTCATCCCAATGGGAATTTCCCATGACGCGCGCGGTTTTCGAGGAAAGAACAGAAAGAACATCGTTTGGATGGCGAAATATGATACTAAATCATACGGGGGTAGCTAAAATTATTGGTATCTCCAAAGTATCTCCAATTTCCGGCTAATTTCCGGGGGAACAAGATTTGTAGCCTGGGGCGGGAGCAACTACACTATGGCAAGTGTTTACGCATTAATGGGATAAGATTTTTAATATAATTTGCAGCTTACTTCTTTATTTGTTTGTAGCCAACTACTAGAATGACAACTTTTAGCGGCAAAAATAGCTTTTAAAAAGACTGCAAATAAAAAACAGGTTAAAAATAGCGTAACAAAGGAATAAACTGCTAGCGGTAATAATTATAAACATTAAAGATACATATGGACCTTGTCTTCTAGATTTATTAATAAAAAACTCAAGCCTATCGACAGAATCGGCCAAATTTTGGTTTGATGAAGCCCAAAAACGGGCAAAACGGAAGCTCTATATTTGATCAGCTGTCATTAGACCTACAGCGTAGTATCGGCCATCTTTTAGCCCGAAAAACCTGGGAAGTTAAGGTAAAATACGTCGTAGAAGAATGTGGCCTTCCCAGGAACGGGTTTTCAGCAGGATTTTGTCAAAAGTGACCCCGGAAAAAATTTTGTTTGGGGGGAACAGTCACTTGATCTACCGGCTCCCGGCTGGCAGGACCAAATTGGACGAGCGATCGGAACGACACAAAAAGGGCAGAGGGAGGGGCGCGAGAGAGAGAGAGTGAGAGAGGGGGAGAGAGGGAAATTTTAGCGATTATCTACCGCTCTAGGAAATGCTAACCAATTTAGATAATGAGGCCCCAGCCCAAAATTGCTCACAAAACGTCCTGTGGTTTCAAAAAAGTTGCCACTTCTTAAAAAGAATCTCTAAATAAAATAATCTGAAAATATCGGAAAAATACGACTTATGACTATAAAACACGTCAAGGCATCGAATTATCGCTAAAAACGAAAATACTTGGATTTGTTATCCGGTATTTGCACAGAGTTCCCTTGCTCAATTTGATGCAAGAGAACTTTTAGTTTTTGAACGTACTATTTTAGTTTTTATCTAGTTTCTGCGGTATTTACATCAACGTACAATTGAATTTAGAAAATTGAAGATTTTGTACGATCTGCAATCAAATTATTTAGCATCCAAACTACCGTAATCCTGACGAAACGCCATCAATGATTACAAAACGTGACTTCTAAAAGCGACTTCACTGCCGCATTTTAACAAGGTGTGCGAGGGGGAGCTATGGAAACGGCGAGCGAGAGCCAGATTGTCGCCTAAAAAGCGCCCATTTTCTAATTGGAAAGGGAAGGTGTGGTGGGCACAGAGCGGGCTTTGCGCAGACCAAAATGTTTTCCTTGCGTCATTCGTTGGGATTCGCAAGCCATTGCCCCGGCTAATTTTATCCAAACCACGCGAATCTAGTTGGGAAACCTGGGATGAGGTCGAGTAGAGGGGATTGGAAACCTTTTTGGACTCGTGTGTTTTGCGGGCCAAACTTAATCCGGTGGTAATAAAAATTGGGCGGAACGGGGATATGTGGAGAGAGCGAGGGAGAGAAAGAGAGATAGAGAGATAGAGAGAGAGAGAGTGAGAGTGCGAGAGAGACGCATGAAACTACGAAATGGACAAAGATAGAGAAACATGGAGCCCGTAAGGGGGTTGCCCCGAGGATTGCCGATCCCTAAAAAGCCTAGATTCTCCGAAGCTTCATCATCGCAAAAACAACCAGACGCAATTCCACATCTGGCGCCTACACTCAGTAAAATAACTATAAAGGCAGTGGTTTTTGTCGAATATCTCGGCGGTTTTTGCACTTATCGAGATGCAATTTTCAGAATAGGCTTCTGAAGAGCCACTTGATATCCTGTACAAATCCGAATCAAATCCGTTCGTGGAAAGTCCGATTTCTGGCAAATGACGTTTTCGAAACTGTAAAAAAACCATAAAGGCAGTCGAAAGAAATTCATTCAAAAATTCCCAAATTAGTTTCTTTGCAAATTTACAATACAATCATGGTTGCTAGACCGTTTTCTATTAAAAATTGTTTTCTAGCATTAATGGCAGCCCATTTTTTGTGATTCGACCCGCCAGGGTCAGGCCAGCTGATGCCTCCCATCTTGTAACGTTCTTTAAAAAAATTCCTTTGTCGGAGCACTATTCTGACCGCGTCCTTAGCTTGGTTTGGGGCTCTAGTATTGGGGGCCAATTGGAAACGGCACCGAAAGCAGCCCAGGTGCTCGCGTGGACAAATAAGTAATGATATTTGTCACGGCGAAATTCGAACTCGAGGCTTAATTTCACAACGGCTTCAAGAAGCGGACTATATTTTTGTTTTTAAGGAAATTATATGATGCTCTATGCCTGCCTGCTACTATATTTGCTCTTTAAAACACGTGGCAGTGGCGAAAATTGACGTCCAAGGCGCCTGAAACTCAACATTATCGGGGGTGGCATCAGTGACAGCTCGGATTAACCTTAAGTTTTGTCGCTATGCTTCCCGGCCTAAATAAAAGCCATGTCAAGATTAAGAAACACGTAAACCACGATTGAATCGTAACTAGGACCGTAGGTTCGGCCGATCGGTGGATCCGTGGAACGCCTTCGAAATCCCCGATGCAAGCTCGACTCTCTTGTGTCTTTAATTTTTGTCTCCGAATAGATGCCAGCTTATAAACATTGCGTTCAGCTGCACAATTACATGGAGCAGTCGTCTCCAAGCAGCCTAAGTCACCCTGCACGAAAATTAAGAGTTCAGCTGGGATTTAAGCAATTTCTAGTCGCCTCCGCACCTGTGAGAGATTACATTATAGAATTGCCTCCGCTTTCTTGACGTTTCAAATTGCGTTTCCAATTGGCCCACAATACTAGAGCCCAAAACCAAGCTAAGGACGCGGTCAGAATAGTGCTCCGACAAAGGAATTTTTTTAAAGAACGTTACAAGATGGGAGACATCAGCTGGCCTGACCATGGCGGGTCGAATCACAAAAAATGGGCTACCATTAATGCTAGAAAACAATTTTTAAAAGAAAACGGTCTAGCAACCATGATTGTATTGTAAATTTGCAAAGAAACTAATTTGGGAATTTTTTAATGAATTTCTTTCGATTGCCTTTATAGTTTTTTTACAGTTTCGAAACCGACATTTGCCAAAAATCGGACTTTCCACGAACGGATTTGATTCGGATTTGTACAGGATATCAAGTGGCTCTTCAGAAGCCTATTTTGAAAATTGCATCTCGATAAGTAAAAACACCGCCGAGATATTCAACAAAAACCACTGCCTTTATAGTTATTTTACTGAGTGTATTACGTGCAATCCATTGGTCAGCCGACTGGCTCCCAAAAACTGTTTATGCAACCGGGCATATTAGCGCCAGCTTTTGGGCCGTCTAGTCGTGTTGACCCCGGCCTTTCGGTGTTGAGATACGCGGAAATGGTATGAGTAAGTTGGAGAGAGAGAGAGACAGCGAGAGCGACGGAGAGAGAGAGAGAGAGAGAGAGCGAGAGCGAGAGAGAGTCGCCGAAAAAACCCATTAATATGCCGCCGGGGCCATGATCGACCACCTCCACCCTCCACTTGACTCCGATCTCACACATGGCCACCTACCGTATCGAGAAATTAGCAGGGTAGTACCGGGGTACCCGGCTGCCGCCAAGTCCCGCCAAAATTTGCATTCGACTTTCGGACCCGTGACTTCGCATCCTCAGTTTGAAAGGAGTGACAAATCCGGAATTCTGTGCTGCGAATCTTCGCTACACGTCTTCGGATTGATCGGCTCCAATGCCGGGGCTTTCCTTGTCGATGGCCAAATCTTCCGACTTTTTCAAAATCTAGGATGCGGTTCCTTAATTTTTGCCAAGCTCCAAAATCTTGGCTGCCCTGCCGCGGGGTACAAATTTGTGATGGCACAGATAAAAATCAGCGTTGCCCTTTGTGTCTGCTGGGTCCTTGGAACGGCCCTAGCAAACCAACATTCTGGTGGATTTCAATACATCAATGACTAATAACCTTCTTCAAAAAATGGGACGATTTTTCGTGGACACGTTTTGGTGGAATACTGATTGATTTTCTAGAATTTCTATCTGGTGCACGATAAGGTTCTTAATTAATTTATTGTAGCGAGCGAAAATGTCAGACAAGGCAGCCGCGCAGCGACGCACTCGAATATTGTATGAACGTCGGAAATGCGAGGTGATTTGGTTAAATTTTTTTCTCTCTCTCTCTCTCTCTCTTTCTACTCTGGCTCTCTCTCTCTCGCTCTCTGGCTCTCCCTCTTTTCATTCCAGCTAGATTTCTCCTATCTTTCCTTGGTTATCACGTTCCTTTAATTCCAAGGAGATGACGCGTGGCTACTCCCGGCTTCGCGTAATTCTTCCTCTCGATCCCGTACTTGGAATCACGGCGCCCAAGCCGAACAGGATGGATCTGTTGAAGATGGCTATCAATTACATTGAGTTTCTACAAGAGGTGATACTCCATCTAACTTCAAAACCATTTTTTCGAAAATAATCGAGCGCGGTGGGTACAGGTCGGAGGATGAGATTTCGCAAGGCTTTGGAGACTGGATGAGGGAGAAGAGGTTGGTTTTTGAAGAGCGATGAGGAGGGAGATAGAGAGAGAGAGAGAGAGAGAGAGAGAGAGAGAGAGAGAAGATAGACAGAAGCCTCTACATTTTTGTATTTCTAGGCATCAAGACCTCATGACCGAACTCCAATCCCTCCAGAGGCTTGTCGACTCGATAAAACCTGCTGAGGAGGAGATTGCGCCGGCGGCTGCTCCTGTTGAAGACGCTGAAGTCCCTCACGCAAAATACAAGCACGGCAAGAAGAGGGGCAAGCAGACGCGGGATAACCGTGAGTTTTAAGATACCGAAACTTTTTCCGTGTCGTGCCTCGTGTCGAAAAAAGCTATTTTCATATCGTAATTGATTGATGATAGTCTGATTTTGACTGCCTCCTTTAATTTATACCAAATTTTTCAGCTCCGAGGCGGAAGAGCAAGAAGCCCGTCGAGCCTCCCTCCGCAGTGCCGAACGTCCCGACCCCGAGCGTTGCCGAGGATGCTCCGTTTCAGATGCTGCCTCCGCGTAGGTTCTTAAAGGGATTAGGAAGGCCCAGTAGATCAGGGGATTCCCTATCACCTGTTCGAAAATCACCTGTTCGAAAATCATCTGTTCGAAAAAACATTTATTCGAAAAACGTCTGTTTGAAAAGTCATCTGTTCGAAAAGACACCTGTTCGAAAAGTCGCCTGCTCGAAAAACATGTGTTCGAAAATGGTCATTTTTGGTACCATTTCTAGGCAATTCCACATGCAAATTTTTCGAACAGGTGTCTTTTCGAACCGGTGATTTTCGAATACATGATTTTCGAACAGGTGATTTTCGAACACATGATTTTCGGAGAGTTGATTTTCGAATAGGTGATTTTCGAACAGATGATCGGCCACGGATCAGGGCTCATCTTTCATTGGCAACGAGCCAACCGGAAATGCTAATGCAAGAAAAATGGGAGAGAGTGGGGCCAGGCAGGAGGGAGCAGAGAATTTTTATGCTAATTTTCTGACTAAGCCCGTTTTATGCCGATTTTTTTCGGGGCCTACCTGTGCCCTTTAAGGCAACGCATCGCATGCAGGCTTTTGGGGTCATCATTTACCCTAGCTTGCCATACGTTAAAATGCTATATATTTAGTCTGGCAACCGTACCCATTCCCGTTCCCAATCCCGACCATGTCCGACGTCTTCTACCCCTCTGGATTGCCGATGCCTCAGACGCCACAGGTCTCTGAACCTCACCCGGATCCCCTACCGGTTCCGATGCTCACTTCGATATCGATGTCGATGCCGTCGACGATGTCGTTGACAACTTCGCTACCTACCTTGCCGCCAATTCAGTTGCCCTCTCTCCAGCCACCATACTTTGGCAATACGTTCAGTAACATTGAGGAGCTGTAGATGCTCAAAATTAGCTCCATATTTTTGAAATATCTTGCAAAAAGATAGCTTTTTCATCGCTTTTCGCGACTGCACAACCGTTTACTCTTTCAACAATTTATCAGAATTTTCATTTTAAAATTAAACTTATGTTAAAATTTGAGGCATCTGACCATTCAAGAACTGTTAATCATGCCGCACTAAATTGCTTCAATGCCTCCCTAAAAAAATTTCGGGGTCCCGTCTGACACCGTCTCATACCTCAATTTTACGCTCGCCCCGAATTCGACCCGACTACTCTTTGGTTTTTTTTGTAAGCTGTTTTCTTGCTCGGATAAATGCTAATAGAAGTTGTGTCAAATTGACGTACGACGAGGTTAAAAAACCGATATTTACTAATCAACTACCGTTTAAAAAACTTTTATAGCAAAGGTTTTAGTCTAGACTTTCCAAAACCAAGGATGACGAAAAAGAAGACGTACCAAGAAGTGCGTGAATACAACACAAATGTGGAGCGCAACAGGGCACAGGTGAGAATTTCTGGTTTAACTGGGTTACTGTACCTTGATAAATCATTTGGAACGTTTTTACTGCTTTTTTGAGCCTTCCGAATCCGAAATTCGACTCGTGAGGCCCGTTTTTTTTTGCGGTACTACGGTAGCTCCGGATTACCTCCACGGCTTTTTGTCCGCAACCAAAATTGTAGTACAACCCTTTTCAGAAGCTGTGCGCCGCATTCGCCAAGCTTCGCGACCTGCTCCCAGCCCCAACGGCAGACGGCCACAAATTTCGTTTCATTAAGCTAGAGGTGCTGAAGATGGCCACCGAATATATCGATTATCTCGGAAAGGTATCTAATGCAATATTAAGAAGCTATAGTTACGTTTTGAACTAACTTGATGCTACTAAACTCGCTCAATGACGCAATTTAGGAATCCAATCACGACGAGGAATACCTATCTCAAGAAGTGCTACACGAAGAGTTCAGGAAGTGGAGAGCGCTCAAAAAGTAGGTGTAGTTTGTAAGTCGTCTATTCTGCTGATGTGCAAATTTGTATTTTCTCAAATTTTCTTTTTTAGCCAAGCCGATGATGATGATGAGACACCTCAAAAATCACCTCCTAAACTTGCTAAAAAGAAGATCAAGAAAGCGGCTGAACATCCAATCAAGAAGTCGAAGAAACCAGGTATATATTGTTTTTCAAGCTACACTTGATGTTTTCTAAGTTTATCTATTTAAGACATTTAAATACCTTTTTCAGCAAAACAAAAAATCAACCGTCCAATCCCACTTCGACTGCACCCGTTCCGGCCGGCCTGGGCATATCCGGTAGCTGCTAAAGGGCCCCGAGGTGACTGACAGTGAGAGCGAGAAAAAGAGAGAAAGTGAGAGAAGAGAGAGAGAGAGAGAGAGAGAGAGAGAGGGAGAGATAGAGAGAGAGCGGTAAAGCGGGAGCGACAGACAAAAGGAAGAGGAATTTTAAAGTATACCTATAATCCTTCAACCTCTATATTTTAGTATGGCAACCAAATCCACACTTCTTCGCCTACGCCCCCACCATCTACCCCCCACCCGCACCAATGATCTTGGAAAGAATTTTACCCAGCCGCTTCCTACCCCCACTTCTTCCCATACCTAAAACTTCCCTGCCCAGCATCGACCAGGTCCTGAAGAACTACAAGCTCCCCACCCCAATTTCGAGTTTTCCGAGCTTTTCGAGCTGTACGACTTTTTCAAGTTTTTCGAGCTGTCCGACCTTTCCAAACTTCCCGATCTTCCCAACTCCATTTCCATCCCCTTTTTCGTTTCCGTTGCTCCCGCTTCCGACGGCCACCCCTCCGCAAATATTCTTGGGGGACGCTTTTGAGGTTTTGGATGCCGGGAATAGCTTCGAGCTGCTAGAGGAACCTGTTGAAATTGAGCAGCAACAGGGTGGATCCGAAATGAAACGTGAGATAGATGACCAAGGGATTAAACGAGACAGTAATTTAGAAATCGTTGAAGTCGAAACAAAAGGTTTGAACCGCGACTCGAATCCAGACGTGAAGCCGTTTGGTGCATCCATCGGGTCATCAGAGTCGGCTTCGACCCTAGGCTAAATTTTCCATTACTTTATGATTGAATCTCTGATCTTACCAAATGGTGTCCAATTTGTTGATGTTGTTAATACAACCCTTTTAACACGCTATAAAAATTCGCTCAGATCCTGTTGAACATTTGAAATCAGCAAAATAATTTGCCAGCAATTTCCAGCCCGCAGTTGCAGGCCCTTATCACCAGCCTAATTCCCGGTGTTTTGCCAACCACCTGAAAAACCATATCACGCAACATTCGGGGCTAGCGGGATGTAGTTTTGCGTAGTCTATGACACAGTACGGAAGTCGTTAGGTCAGAACACAATTTTTCTGTTTTTTTTCGCAGCGAGATAAAGAGATAGAGAGCGAGCGAGAGAGCGACCGAGAGAGAACTAGAGTGAGTGAGACTTAGTGAAAAAGAGATTCCGGGAGAAAAAGAGAGAGAGAGAGCGAGAGAGAAAGTGAGAGAGCCAGAGAGAGAGAGAGAGAGAGCCAGAGCGAGAGAGAGAGCGAGAGAGTGAGACAGAAGCAAAGAAAGAGAGAGAGAGAGAGAGAGAGAGATACGCATATCAGTCTGTCCAAAGAGATCCCCGGCTCATCAGCAAACCGAATTTATCAATTCTGCGTGCGCGTGCCCTGCCCCAGAGCCAGCCCCGCTACATGTTTGCAGCCCTGTAGTCCGAAGTGTTCCCGTTTACGCCATTATTATTTTGTTTCCCAAGGTCGAGGGCGCTTTATGAAAAAAAATCGAAAGTGTTATAATTGTGTTATTGGATGATAAAATAGTTTTTGGCAAAGTGACGTGGCAGCGAAACTATCTTAGAGACCTTTTTTGACTCGTCAAGTGTCAAAATTATGTTTAGATCGTACTTTCTACTTGCGACACTACTACTTATTTTATTTATGGTAATGCCACACTTTCATTAGTGCCAAAAATCGGCGAATCCGCGCTATTATCACGCAGATGAAAAGGAAACCATACACTGCTGATTTAAAAGTTGAAAACTTTCTGATTGAAATTTATTAAACGGGCTTCACATTTTGAATTTACATGACCTCCAAGGGAATTTTTGTGGGCTTTAAGTGATCGTTTAATTGAATGATCCAAACCACAGCTATTGGCGAATTTTATTGGACGTGAATGCTCTCATTTTTTATGAAACCTGACTTAAAAATCGTGATTTCCTAAAATTTGAATGTAAATTTTGCTCCTTGTTTTTCTGTTTAATTTTTCCATATTTTTCTCGAACAGTTACGCCTTGAAATTGCAGCGATGGTAATCACCTCCGAGTTCACGACCGACGCCCCGACGCAGCCACTCCACATTTCACTCCTCGACAAATATGAGTATTTTGCCAAGGAACGCCCCGATTTGATCGTTTTTGTAAGTGTTCTGTGATCCGTATTAGTATAGCTTAATTCTAGCGCAACTCGGAGAACCACGACGACTGCCTCACCTACGCCCAGCTCCGCGATAACGTGTTGCGAGCCGCCAATTTTTATCACCACCACGGGTTCCGGAAGGGGGGAGGTAGGCAGGGGGCGTTTGCAGGAGCAGAAGTTGGTGCAGAAAACAAGTCAGAAAAAAACTGTAGGACAAAATGTTAAAGAGTAAAAATATTTGAGAAGAAATGAAAAATGGTTTTTTCACGTTTACAGGTCAAATAAAATGCATGTCGTTTTTAGAAAATGTATTTATTTAGCTAAATAAACCTTCATTTCTTAAATTGCGCATGTTTTTACAACCCATATGTTAATCAGAGCTATTAAAAGCTACAAGGAGGTATCTATTCCATTTTTTAATTTTACACCATCTCAATAAAATTTAAATTTCGAACTTAAGCAATCATATTCTTTTCTAGGTATGCAGCATCATACTACCAAACTGCTGGCAATTTCCTATTGCCATGATTGGTGCCTGGACCGCCGGAATGACGGCTTCCGGCGCTAGCGTGCAGTTTACGCATTGTAAGTTTCATTAAGTCCAAATCTATAATTTCTTGATCGATATAACAGCTCGTAACCTGCATTTCAACCAAATTTTTTTTTTGCAAAAGCGCCGTTTCTGAAGCGTCAAAAATTTGAATAGCGGGTTTTCTAAAATATTTTCAATTGCTTCAAATACCTGTTAGGTTTCATTAATTTAGACGAACTCAAGCACCAGTTCGACGATTCCGAAGCTTCTGTTATCATCACGGAAGATACATACCTAGACAAAGTCTTAAAAGCTGCCGAGGGCTCGAAGAGGATTCGGGTGAGCAAGAACGCCTCTCTCTCTATATCTCTCTTTTTCTCTCTCGCTCTCTCTCTCTCTCTCTCTCTTTTTCTCTTTCTCAATTTTTAATATTCAGAAAATCATCGCCCTCCGAACAAAGCCAGACCCGCTACCAAAGGGTGTCATGGATTTTGAAGAAATGCTAAAGTGCAAGCCCGATTTCGACTACAAAGCAGTGAAATTTGATTTGAAGGAAGATTTGATTACGCTACCATATAGGTTTTTTGACAATGCATACCCAGAAAACACGCATCTTTTTCAGTTCGGGAACCACGGGAGCTCCAAAGGGCGTTATGATCACCCACTTCAACCTGGCGAGCTGTCTGGAGATGTTTTTATTGTAAGTATTGTTAATTTTGCATGCGAATTTGAAAACGGTGATGCCAGAAAGCACGAAAACGCTAAAATTTGAATCATGAAAAGGCAACATTTAATCACCAAAACCGGAATTCCTGAGAATTTTCTTCTTTTAGAATTCCAAAAATTAGTTTTGAGTAAACGTTTCTATCTAAAAACTCTAAAATGAATTGAATCAGTACGATTTGCATTTTTTTCGAGGTTTCTCAACATCACTGTACAAGCATTTATTGTCGGCATGGATAATACTGTTTGATGGTACTTGATCTCGTCATTGGCAAAGTATCGTACAGGCAGGAGGGGGCATTTCAGATGTCATTAGTAGTCAGATGTAGTCGACCATGCATTACTGCTTGCCCTCGCCAGAAGCAGCCGAAGGTCCAAATCCAGCGGCCCGCTTGCCATAGTATCCACCGTAATATCCACCATATAGTCCGCCGTATCCATATCCACCATATCCAGCGTATCCACCGTATCCACCGTAATAAGATGGGTATCCACCGTAGCCATAGCCATAGTATTGAGCATCTACCGAGACGGCGACAAGGCAGAGAAGGGCAACGAGGCACAGAACTTTCATTGAAGAGTTCATTGTTAGATGATGGGTTGGGATTGGACGGCGTTGTCGAATGATTTCACCGTCAAGTTCGAGCTGTTATATACCCTCCTAGCTGTGTTGGTTTCTATTTGGTGCCCTTCTCGCTCGGTTCGTGGCGGGACCTTCTGTTCTATTTGGGGTATCAATTGCCAGTTCTCTTCTCTTTTCAGGGGGGAAAAGGGAAACCCGGTGCGGGACCTAGTTGGCCCCCCAAATATTCCCTCCAGAAGAAAAAGAACTGTCAAACGGAGCAAGTGGCACTTTCCGATGGGGGTTCACGCGGTCTGTGGCCCCTGCCGGAAAATCGTTCTCTTTGAATGAAAAAGGGCAAATAGTGATTGCAGAAGCGGTGAGAAAAAGTGGGACCTGTCAGCTGGGGAGGTGGTGGATTGGAAAAAGTGATTCGCTGAATTCGAGATAACCTTTGAGCTTGCCCTCGAAGTTTCACGGATCAGGAAAAACAGAAAAATTTCGGGAAGAAGTTATTGAGCGTTAGCATCGGCTAAAGAAAATCAAAACCATTTGATTCTACCCATATAGACAATAAATAATGCAAATGCAGCTATCCAGTTCGTTAACATAATGGATTTCTATTGTATGGTAAAATTCCATTATTTTATAAGGGTGACGGCCTCTGAAGAGCCTTCGCATTGCGCTCGCTAGACGCCAATTTCTGATCAGGGCCAATGCCCGGTTTTGGATTACGATGCGTTGCCATTTCTCCTGAAACAAACCTTTCCCAGTCTCTGCTATTTCATTTTCTTAAGTTCAAGATTTCTGAAATTTTTAGTTATAATATTTGTTCCGGGCTCCTCTTTTAGCGTTTTCGCAATTTTTTAGCTTAATCTCTACTTTAACCAGATTTGAATATTTCCAATGCTACAATGCTTCTTTCCAACTAGTTTCCACGTTATTCCTCACTTTTTCCCACCCACCCTCCGATTTTTTAAAGTTAAGATCGCGCCTTGCTCCCGATTTTCCCTCTCTGCCTCTCTTTGATTTGCCCTTGTACACGAGAAAGCCAAGCCATCTTTTTTGAATGACCGTTCCTCTAAAAACCTCATAGATTCAGAATAGCCAACGAAACAGAGGATCTGTTCAATTTTTTAAAGAGCTTTGACCTTCTACAGTACCTTTGCGTTGTTAATTGTAAAGCCTTTTGGATTTTCCGGGATTTTTGTAGTATGCGTTTTGCAGTGCGGTGGAGCCCTGTTTTTTTGATCCAATTCTTTTATTTGGCGTATGGAGAATACTGGTGGTAGTTGGTCATCGTTGGCAATTTGAGAGTACACGTAGCGTCATCAGTAGTCAGCTGTAGTCGACAGATGATACATTATTGCTTGTTCTCCACGCCAGCAGCAGACGGTCCGAAGCCAGCCGCCCTCTTGCCATAGTATCCACCGTAATATCCACCATATAGTCCACCGTATCCATATCCACCATATCCAGCGTATCCACCGTATCCACCGTAATAAGATGGGTATCCACCGTAGCCATAGCCATAGTATTGAGCATCTACCGAGACGGCAACAAGGCAGAGAAGGGCAACGAGGCACAGAACTTTCATCGAAGAGTTCATTGTTGGATGACGGGTTGGGATTGGACGGGGTTGTCGAATGATTTCACCGTCAAGTTCGAGCTGCTATATACCCTCGCGCTGTGTTGGTTTCTATTTGGTGCCCTTCCCGACTCTCTGTTAGCCTAAAAGAAATCTGACAGTTATTTAGGGGCCACCAGGGCCGTATTGGCACCAAGGGAAGTGAGAACAAATACGGGGCGCGCCTTCAAACACCCCGTTCGCGCGTGGGGTCCCCCTGGCCCGGAAAAGTAAAGAAAAACTTGTCTAGCCGATCGGTGAGCACGGGCGGTGGTTGAATAGAGCCCATTGAAATACCCTAGTTTGAGCAAATGTGTGTAGGTGGCTCACCGGAAACTATGGAATCTCTGGAATTTTTCAGTGGCCTTGGAATGGTCTTCGAAAAATTTACCTAGAGGAGTGATGAAAGAAGGAGATATTTCAACTCATGAAAATCGCGGTTATGCTAGGAACTGTATTAGATTTAAAAATAGCGATAAACATTAAAAAATCACTGAAAAAGCCAAAAATAACTTCTTTCCCGGGCCTCATCCTCTCTAAATCCGGCCATATCTATTTCGGCGGTCGGGTCTGCGTGTTGTGTCTTCCGCTCAAGGCCTGGAAAATCTTAATTGTTGGGATTCCGCGGTCTGCGCGGACTTCAAATACGAACCCTCATAATTGAAATCGCAAAATTCTCAGTCTTGTTAAATTTCTTTTAAGGATGTCTTTTCTCTCCTCCACTTTTCCGAATTTAATCTAATTTTTTCGTCTGTGAAAGAAAAATAGGTGCTTGGGTTGATTTTGCAAGACGCACTTCGTACTGCTAGCTCCGGACCTCACCTCCGCCTCGGTACCCTGGACCTTGAAGCCTTAGCGTTTTTGTGTGCCTGCCTAGCGCACCCAGCCTTTGTTTTTTCGAGGCCACAGAGCGGCGTTCCCGCCCCGCTGACAGTTTTTATGAAACGGGGCCCAGTTGGGACCCTCTCCTTACTAACAGTCAGTTCACACCTACAAATAGGAGAGAGAGAGAGAGAGAGAGAGATAGAGAGAGAAAGAGAGAAAGAGAGAGAGAAGCCAATAGAAAACCCAACCCAGCGGCACCAAATAGAAAATCTGAGGTATAAAACAGCTCGAACTTGACATTGAAATCATTCGACAACCCCGTCCAATCCCAACCCGGCATCCAACAATGAAATCTTCAATGAAAGTTCTGTGCCTCGTTGCCCTTCTCTGCCTTGTTGCCGTCTCGGTAGATGCTCAATACTATGGCTATGGCTACGGTGGATACCCATCTTATTACGGTGGATACGGTGGATACGCTGGATATGGTGGATATGGATACGGTGGACTATATGGTGGATATTACGGTGGATACTATGGCAAGCGGGCGGCTGGATTTGGACCTTCGGCTGCTTCTGGCGAGGGCAAGCAGTAATGCATGGTCGACTACATCTGACTACTAATGACATCTGAAATGCGCTCTCATGCCTGTACGATACTTTGCCAATGACGAGATCAAGTACCATCAAACAGTATTATCCATGCCAATAATAAACGACTGCGCTGCATTCGAGTCATGAAAAGCGAGTGTCATCAGTAATTCATAAAAAAGGGAAAGAAAGGGGCAAAGAAAAGAGAGCGGACGAGAGGGAAAGAAATAGAGAGGAGAGAGACAGAGAGAGAGAGAGAGAGAGACTGAGGAGAGAGAAAGTGAGAGAGAGATTGTCTGAAGTGCTTGAGATTCGCCTTAGCAAAGTAGAAAGGGCTGGCTAAAATGAGGCGGTTTTAGTTCAAAAATCTCCTGGAAAGTTGTTGATAGGTCCCAGATATATTGATTGGATTGTGCCGAATCCAAATCTAAAAGGTTGGCGAACGTTGACTCTGAAGAATGATTAAAGGAGGAAACTAGAGCCCTAGGCTTGGAAAAATGGATGAGAAGTAATAACGCGATTTTGTTCAAACCTTAACAAATAAAGTGCATGAAAAAAGTGACATTTTGCACGCCAAACCGACTTTTCAGGGTCTCAGCACACTAATGCGAGTGGATTTGCCTGCATATTTTCGAAACTCATATTTTCCAAACTCACATTTTCGAAACTCATGTTTTCGAAAACTCATATTTTCGAAACTCATATTTTCAAAACTCATATTTTCGATAACTCATATTTTCGAAACTCATACCTTCGAAAACTTATATTTTCGAAACTCATATTTTCGAAAACTAATATTTACAGCTTTGCATAGGCTTAGGTAACCTAAGAAAACCTAAGAAATATGAGTTTACATGAGTTTCGAAAATATGAGTTTCGAAAATCTGAGTGCCTTGCCTACCATGCGAGTGGCCAGCTGGAAAGTTGGGATAGCACGTGCCTCAAGCTATTATTTTTGGTGCCGTATTTTTTAATCCGCATAATCCGCTAGGAAAAAATAACAAGTGATCTATTGTTTCGGTTTTTACGCATTGTAAAATTCTTGGAATTGAACCGGACCACAAATTTGCATATTCGCCTTTTTGACGCCTTGTCACGACACGACGGAATGCAGTCCCCAGGAGCTGCAGACTACCAAAGTTGCACTTCTCCAATTTGGTAATGATTAACCATATTTTTTTCGGTTTGCGAGGCAACGTCTGGAAATTGCAGGCTTGAAAACTTCAGCACCAGAGTTGCCAGTGATCCCTAATCCATTGCATCGTTTTTTAGCTCAAAGACCTCCCCGGCTGACAGGTCCCACTTTTTTCACCACTTCTGCAGTCGCTATTTACCCCTTTTTCATTCAAAGAGAACGATGCTCTCCAAGGGGGCCACAGACCGCGAGAACCACCACTTGCTCCATTTGACAGTTCTTTTTCTTCAAGAGGGAATATTTGGGGGGCCAACTAGGTCCCGCACCGGGTTTCCCTTTTCCCCCCTGAAAAGAGAAGAGAACTGTCAATTGATACACCAAATAGAACAGGAGGTCCCGCCGCGAACCGAGCGAGAAGGGCACCAAATAGAAACCAATACAGCTGGGAGGGTATATAACAGCTCGAACTTGACGGAGAAATCATTCGACAACCCCGTCCAATCCCAACCCATCATCCAACAATGAACTCTTCAATGAAAGTTCTGTGCCTCGTTGCCCTTCTGTGCCTTGTTGCCGTGTCGGTAGATGCTCAATACTATGGCTATGGCTACGGTGGATACCCATCTTATTACGGTGGATACGGTGGATACGCTGGATATGGTGGATATGGATACGGTGGACTATATGGTGGATATTACGGTGGATACTATGGCAAGCGGGCGGCTGGATTTGGACCTTCGGCTGCTTCTGGCGAGGGCAAGCAGTAATGCATGGTCGACTACATCTGACACCAAATGACGCTACGTGTACTCTCAAATTGCCGATGATGACCAACTACCACCAGTATTATCCATACGCCAAATAAAAGATTTGGATCACAAAAATGAGGTTTCACCGCACTATGAAAAACATTATATAGCACAAAAAATCGGATACAAAGTGAAATCAAAATTTAAAATATAAAATCAATTTTTATTGACAATTAATATAAGGAAAGTATTGTAGCCGTTCGCACGCGCTTAAAAATAAAAAAATATTTGCTGCCACATCAGCTCTCTGCTTCTAATACCTCAAATTTTGAGCGTTATGTATTTTTGCGGCATTTTAAAAATGTCATCAGGATGCAGCAGAGTTTATTAAATTTTTTTTTCAGCAACGAAAAGCGCAAATGGGCCGAGCTAGGGATGCCTTTTGACATTGTGATCGGCAGAAATTCACTGGCTATACTGCCGCAGTATCATGCTATGGGAATGTTTACGTAAGTCTCTTTACATAAGTCACGATTTTCTGCTCCTAGTGAACTGGATTGATTACGCTACTTAATACATACTTTGACGGGTTGTGAGTATTATATTTCAGCATGGTCGCCCTCACATTCATGGGGATTCAACAAATCATGTTCCGCAAGTTCCACCTCGAGTCGATGCTAATGCATATCGAGAAGTTTGATGTGAGTTAAAAGCTTTAAAAACTCCAAAAACCTAATTCAGCCAAAAACGCAAAATTAAAGGCCAACTAACAGAGCTTCTTTGAGATGAAGTGATGACTTAGCAAGCCGAAAAAGTTATAGTAAAATGTTAAGGCATGTTATTCAGACAACAGTCCTGATCCTCGTGCCGGCCATCATCAACCAAATGGCGTTCTCCCCTCTACTAGACAAATACGACATGTCGTGTCTGATGACGATCAATTCCGGGTCAGCTCCGTTGAGCAAGAACGTCATCGAGAGGTTGAAGGAGAGACTACCGGATATCAATATTAGGCAGAGTACGTTTCTTGAGACGATTTTGATAGCTCTCTCCTCTCTCTCTCTCTCTCTCTCTCTCTCTCTCTCTCTCTCTCTACCTCTGCCTCTCTCTCTCGCCCTCTATCTCTCTAATTGTTATTTTCCTTTTTTTGTCGTTTCAAAAACGGTTCCACAAAACTACGTAATTAAAGGCTACGGTATGACGGAAATGTCACTTGGATGCCACTTTTCCGTATTGAACCAACCAGACAATGCGACCGGAAAGCTGACCGCTAATATGTCGATGAAGGTAAGCCTGTTTTGAGGTACTTTTGAATTTTTGGGGTTCTAGGTGCATGAGAATTAACAAAAGTCCCTAGCGCAAGAAAAAATAATATTCCATATCTTCAGGTAGTAAACCAAGAAACCGGAAAAGAGTGCGGGCCGATGGAGATGGGCGAGTTACGAGTAAAGGGACCAGTGATCATGAAAGGGTAGCTTTTAAAGTAAACTTTCTAAACCTTTGGCTTTAGCTACAAAAATCGGCCCGAAGACACGAAGAAGACGCTCGATGCGGATGGATGGTTGATTACAGGTAGTTTTTTTGAGCACTAGAAATGAAAAATTTTTTAGGAGACCTCGTCTACTACGACAAAGAGGGGTTCTTATACGTTTGTGAGCGGGCAAAGGAGTTGATCAAGGTCAAGGGGGCACAGGTAGGAGATCGATTTTCGGGCTAAAATCCAGTAGTAAACGCAACAACCACAATCACAAACGAGTACTTTAAAAATTTTATTTAGGTCGCGCCAGCAGAGCTAGAAGACGTCATCCTCGGTCATTCTGGAGTCGTCGACTGTGCGGTGGTTGGTGTTCAGCACGAGATAAACGGAGAGGTACACTATTTTTAGGCGGACGACAATTTCGCATTTTTTTTGTTTAAGAATTTCGGGATTTATTTTTAGGCCCCACGAGCCTTCGTGGTCCGAAAAAGTGACGGCGTATCTGAAGAGGATATCCATCGCTTTGTTAATGGTAAGAAAATAATTTTTAATATCTGACGACGTAGTGTATTTTTAAAAAAGCACTTTGTAATGAAATCAGAGCTTTTTAGAACGCGTTGCCCGGTATAAACAACTCACTGGCGGCATCATTTTCGTCGAAACAATCCCCCGGACCCCAACTGGAAAAATTCTAAGGCGACGCCTGAAGGAGATGTATCCTGCGGAGAATTCTGAAATCAGGGCCAAGCTGTAGAATTTTCCAATGTACAGAGTAGCTAAAGTAAAGTACGAATACGTATAAGTTAACGGTGTTGAAATAAATTGTTTAAGTTTGATTGGCTGTCTACGACTTAAAAAGCAAAGGAAGCGGGACGGAGAAAGAGAGAGCGAGAGAGATAGAGAGGGCGAGAGAGCGAGAGATACATGCAAGTGATAGAAAGAGCGAGCGAGTGATAGGTTGTGAGAGAGCGGGAGAGAGAGAGCCAGAAGCAACGAGCTAGATGGATAGATAGGGAATTCCTGAATCTCCAACAGTAACTCGGAAAATTTGCATAAAATTTCACTAACAAATTTGCATAAAATGCGCCAAAAATCAAGCCTAATTTGTGTTTCATTCACCACCCGACACTCGTCTTTTGGAGTTACTCGTCCTTCGCTTTCTAACATGCGTTGTTGTGGTCAGTTTTGGAAAAAAAATTTTAAACACGCAAATTTTTTACCAGGCGCCCACTCGGCGCGCATCCAGCAGTTCTTGCGCACCTACTGGCTGTTCGTCGGGCCCATCCTGTTCGCTTCGATTCTGCTGATTCCGCTTCGATTCGATGGCAAATATACTCTGGTTTTTTGTCTTTTTGCTGTTAAATCCTTCTCTTTCTAGCCGTGCCGCTGCATTTTTGCGATTCTGTGGACGATCAGCTACTGGGTGGTCAAGGTGAGAAGACGAAGCCTAAACCAAGCCCAAGCGTAAGCCTAAGACTAACCCAGACTTCAGGTTAAGCCGAAGCCTGAGCCTAAGCTAAGCCACGCCTAAGCCAATCCCAAGCCAAGCCTAAGCCAAGCCTAGGCCAAGCCTAAGCCAAGCCTAAGCCAATCCCAAGCAAAGCCTAGGCCGAGCCTAAGCCAAGCCTAAGCCCAAGCCTAGGCCAAGCCTAAGCCAAGCCTAAACCAATCCCAAGCAAAGCCTAGGCCGAGCCTAAGCCCAAGCCAAGCCTAAGCTAAGCCTAAGCCTAAGCCTAAGCCTAAGCCTAAGCCAAGCCTAAGCCAAAGTTAAGCCACGCCTAAGCCAATCCCAAGCAAAGCCTAGGTCGAGCCTAAGCCCAAGCCAAGCCTAAGCTAAGCCTAAGCCTAAGCCTAAGCCTAAGCCTAAGCCAAGCCTAAGCCAGCCTAAGCCAAGCCTAAGCCAATCCCAAGCAAAGCCTAGGCCGAGCCTAAGCCAAGCCTAAGCCCAAGCCAAGCCTAAGCTAAGCCTAAGCCTAAGCCTAAGCCAGCCTAAGCCAAGCTTAAGCCAAGCCTAAGCCACGCCTAAGCCAATCCCAAGCCAAGCCAAGCCTCTTCCAGCCCGGCCCCATTGCGATGACCGCCTTCCTGCCGTTGGTGCTGATGCCCATCCTCGGGCTCGACAAGGGCAAGGACATGTCCGAGATGTACTGGAAGGTACATTAATGGAGTTATGCCCAACTGACCCCCAATTTTTTAGGACTGTGTCATGCAGCTGTTCATCATCCTCTGCCTGAGCATCACTATCGAGGAGATCAACCTGCACAAGCGGGTCGCCTACTGGCTGCTACGCTTGGTAGGAGCAACTCTTTGGGAGCGACTACACCACTTACTTCAGTCAGGCCCAAGCCCGGCGAGCGTGCTGTACGGCTTCATGGCGACGAGCTACTACCTGGCCTACTACCTGCCCGACTACACCGTCGTCAACCTGATGGTGCCGCTGGCGACCGCCGCCTGCAACGCGCTGGAGGCGTCCAAGGCCAAGTGGGTGTCGCACCCCCTTTAGAATCAAACGCTTCCGGTCCTAGTTCATTAGCGGGGAGCCGCGACTCTCCTCCACCGCTAACGCAACAGAACAGCTTTTCCGATAAGCTAATTTGTCCTGTATTTCAGGGCCCGGCAGGGGACCTTCATCACACCGGCTTTGGGCAGTATTGAGAAAGCGGGTGGCATGGAACGGTGGGTATTTCGCTACCGGGCGCTTTTGATAAATTTCTCACGAACAAACCACTGAAAATTTACGCCTTTCTCTCCCCCTCTCTCTCTATCTTTCTCTCTCTCTCTCGCTCTCTCCTTCGCTATCTCTCTCAGTCTCACTCTCTCTCGCTCTCGCTCTCTCTCGCTCTCTCTCGCTCTCTCTCGCTCACCCTCTGTCCCCTTCAGCAGCGACAAAGCCAGCAGCGCTGAGCCCATCTCCAAATCCTCGCGCAACAACTCGAAGTCGCAGGGCAGCGGCCGGGGTGTTGCCAATCTGCCCATCTCGGTGACGGGGGACACGTAAGACGGAGTACCTTAAAGCCAATTTTTTATACTTTCTAGCTCCCGAGACACTGTCAGTAAAGCCGAGAAGCCGACCGGATCCGGTGCTGCCAAATCCGGAAGATCAGCTGCTTCGAATAAGAGGTATCACCTTATCGAAATAACCAGAATATTTGTCTTTTTTAGCGTCTCCGAGAAGCCGAACAGCAAGAGCGAGGCGGCCACGCAGTCTGGGTAGATGAACATTGGATTTTTTTGAAGTAAATTTTGGTTTTTTAAGGTCGTCGCGTCGCAAGAAGGGCGGCGCCGAGGTGGAGACGGTGATCAGCGTCGGCTCCGGCGTCCCGATCGACCCGGACGACACGGAGATTGGTAAACCCGCTAACCCCCTCCCCCGATGACAGTCCAGTACCTTTAATATCGTTCCTTTTTTCAGGCCTCCGAAAAGCCCTTATCCTCGCCTGCGCGCACGCGGCGCTGATCGGCGGCACGGCGCTGCTCACCGCTGCCACCCCGAGCCTCATAGTCTCCAACATCATCAACGAGTACGTGACCATCTTCTCTCTGTTCTCTCACCCTCTCTCTCCCTTACTCACACTCTCTGACTCTCTCGTTCACTCTCTCTCTCTCTCTCTCTCGCTTTCTCTCTCTCTCGGAAAATTGATAATAGTGTATTTTTCAGCGCCACCGTTACACCACCACGAGATCCGCGTAAACCCGACGAACCGACCTTTCCGATCTTCGACCCCCTGGCGAGGATGAGCTACATGGTGTGGGCCGCGTTCGCCATGCCGCAGTCGATCCTGTTCCTCGTCGTCTCCTACCTGACCTTGGCGGTGGGAACCGGGCTTATTAGGTTTTGGCTTGGGCTTAGGCTTGTGCTTAAGCCTAGGCTTAGGCGTAGGCTTGGCTTAGGCTTATGCTTCGGCTTAGGCTTAGGTGCCGGCTTGGCTAGGGCCGGCGCTTGTTATCTGAAAAGAATACAAGAACACAGCGTCTTTTCAGGTCTACTTCCTCGGGCCCGCCGAGTTGGGAAAGTTCTCGTCTTCTTCCGGTACTCCAAGAAAAACAGGATTTTGCAAAATTGTTGACCTTTAGAAGGCGCCCAGGGTGAGGCGGAAGCGCTTACTGCCTTTCTCGATGAAGCCGACGCGAAATTGGGCAACTACAGGTCTGGAACTTTTAACAGTTTTAAAGGACCGTTGAAGCGAAATCTAGCTTAAACTTTAGTTTTGCTGAAAAGTCGATGGTCGGTTGGCTGGTGTTGGTGACGCTGGCATGGGCGACGCGCGAGGCCGGACTCGGAAATCGCAAAGGCTGGGGCCAGCTCTTCGTGAAACCGTAAGAGAAGTTCGAAGAGAGACGAGAGAGAGCGAGGGAAAGCGAGAGAGCGAGAGAGAGCGAGGGAGATCGAGAGGGCGAGAGGGAGTGAGAGTGGGAGAGAGAGTGAGAGAGAAAGAGCGAGAGAGAAGTACTTTGCAGTGAACTCCTCTCTGACGCGTGCGTCGGCGTGATCGTCATCTTCGCGATGACGATGTGGCCCCGGTACGGCTTCAGAGATCGTGTCGACAGCGAGAGGCCGATTCAGGGTAGGTTCGGAGGTCCTGGTACGTTAGCGGGGGGGGGGTTCCATCTAGACCCCCGCTAACGAAACAGAGGCAGCAAGGAAGGCAATCGATCGCTTTAGCGCTTTTCCAGGAAAGCCGAGCTCACACGAGAAGCTCCTCACGTGGCCGATGATCCAGAAGAAGCTGAACTGGGCGCTGTTGATCTACACCGGTTGCGGCTTTGCGATTTCTGCGGCTGTCAAGGTTGGGAACCAAATTGGAGTCGGCGGTATTCAAAATTTGTGCTTTTTACAAACATTGCGAATTTTAGGGGCGAAAAATGGTGTTTTTTGATCCAGACCAAGTAAAATTTCGGTCAGAGTGTCGTTTACCCCCCTTCCCCCCCGCCTGCCCCAAGCCGGCACCCAACTTTTGCATCAAGGCTCCCTGTTCACCTACAGTTGTGTAAACTATAGCAAAATACTCGTCAGAACAAGACAAACATTTTGTTATACTTTACACACCGGTAGATGAACAGGGAGTCGAGATACAGTAGATGGGGGGCCGGATAAACTACAATTAAGCCATTTTGCTTTTGGGCGGTATAACCGGATACACCAGGCCGCCAAAATTGTCTTTTTTTCCAGACATGCGGCCTGGCTACACTCATCCGCCACCTGGTCCGCTACGACGTCAAAGACGCCATTCCGCAAGTTGGATGTGTCGGTGGGTATTTGAGAATTCTGTTCAAAACTCGGAGACCCTTGGCGGCATTTTGATGACTAATTTTAGCCTTGGCCATGGTTTGCATGATCCTGTTGTCCGAGCTGATCGGCAAGACCGGGTCGGCCACGGTTCTGCTGCCGATTTTTCTGGAAGTTGTAGGGTTTTCTGAAGGACCCTTTTCCGCTAGACGCATTAGTGATCCAGATCAACAAAACTGCGCTTAAGTGAACTTGGCGAAATTGTCACGAGATAATTTTGAGCAGGATGGTCTAGGTGTCTTCCGAGAGAACTGAACGCCTTGAACTCGTTGCGCATTCTGACGAATGTCAGCACCCGCCGTGATCTATCTTTCAGGCCCGCGGCCTCAACATCCACCCGCTGTACATGCTGCTGCCGTGCGCCATTGCCCCGTCTCTGGCCTTTGCCACCCCGTGGGGCAACGCCCCTATGGCCGTCGTCTATGAGAGCGGCGTCTTGGAGGCGGGCGAGATTGTCCTCACCGGTGCCATCGTCTCCATCGTCTGCGTCGCGCTGACGTTGCTCAACATCAACACCTGGGGCTACTGGATGCTGGCGCTGCACGAGGATATGCACTGGCGTGCGTCTTTTTTGAAGCTTGCAGTGTTTTTCTTTAAGACCCACAATTCCATGTCGTAATTGAAAAATCCCCCACTTTTAGATCCGGAGGCGGTACCGAAAGCCACGACAACCGTCTTGATCACCACCACGATGACGGTGACGAACATGACCTCGGCGGCCCCGCTCTCGTGATCTTCGGCGATCTACAGCTGCTCCGAAATCACAAGATTTTCGCACCGCCTCGCCTGACCCTACTCGACTACTCGAGCCAGGCCCCGCCCCATTTTTTGTATCGGCCCCTCTGTATTGTTTTTTGCATTTTTGTCTTGGCCTCGTCGCAATGACATTTCTTGTATTCCCGCGAATGTATTCATCTCCCATGTCCCTGTGTAGTTTTTGGAATAAACAACGACAAGGACTTGGAGACGAGCAGAAATCATAAGTTACACTACAGCACCCACAGGCTACAAACTACAGACCACGACAGGATCGAGAAAGCAGTAGAGATGCATCTGGACTACAAACCACAGACTACAACCCCAGTTAAAGGTGTCCCATTAAAAAACACCCTGCTCTAACTCGACGCAAAAGGATCGGATCAGAATGATGGTTATACCATTCGAAAGCCCTTGAAACGGCGAGTTTGCAGCTATCCTCATAACCATGTTTTTATGTAAACCCGTTCTTTCACAACTCATTTAAAAACATTAAGAAACGGCCTATGCATCCAATTAGCGCTACTTCCGGTCATTTTGCGTAGAGAAATTGAGGCAAACTAGCTCGACTGCAACCACGAAAAACAGCAATTTTTTTATAAAATGGCGTGTAAAATGCCGCGTTTAAATAAACACATGGTTTCGGAGATTATTACAAACTCGCCGTTTCAAGGCTTTCGAATGGCTTAACTGGCATGCCGATCCGATAATTCTGCGTCGAGTTAGAGGGGTTTTGTAGATTTCGACACCCCGCTATGACTTTGAATCCGGAATCTGGTTGCGAACTTCGGAAAAATGTCATCATCTCGAAAACCCGCCCAACTCGAACTACTCGGTCGCTCCGTTGGCGATGGGATGCTTTAGTAAACTTTTTATGCAAATTTTGAACCCGGTCTCTAGCGGATGCAAAACATCTTTGATTTTCCAGGCTATCACAAAGCTCGGGTGGGCAAGTTCGTCACCAGCTACTGGATCGTCATCGGACCGATCCTGTTCAGCCCGCTGTTGTTCTACGGGAAGGTGAGAAGGCTACGATCAACTTGCCCCCCTGCTAACAGTCTAGTTCCTAAACATCTTTTTCAGCCCTTCCAATGCATCTGGTGCCTGTGCTTGATCGCCAGCTACTGGATCGCCGGTGTCGGACCCCTTGGCGTGACCAGCTTCCTGCCCGTCGTCTTGTTTCCGTTTTTCGGCTGGGTCGACGCCCAAAAAGTCGTCTCCTTCTTCCTGAAGGTATTTTAGTACCTCCGATACCTTAAAATATTCCCAAGGACACGTCGGTGATGCTCTTCCTGACCCTGGCGATGGGCATCGTCGTCGAGGAGGTCAACCTGCATAGGCGGATCGCGTTGAAAATGTTGTGCTGGGTGGGTGAACGTTTTAAGTTGATGGAGAATGAACCTAGATGGGTACTCGCCCAAATCGTCTGCTGTTCGGCTTCATGTGCGTGACCTGCTTCGTGTCGTTCTTCCTGACGGATGCGGCGGCGACCGCCCTAATGTTGCCGTTCGCGTTGGCGATCTTGGAGGCGAAGGAGAGCGGGAAAATGTAGGAGAGTGAGAGACAGACAGAGACCGATTTCTTTGTCTTAACTGCTTGAAAACGTCAACCATTTAGGAGCACCTCCGGCAGCACGTCTACGAACATGGGCGACGGCGGCAACAGCCGTGGCGGCAGCAAAGAGCTGTAGATGAGCAAATAAACCCAAGATTTCGTCAGTTCAGGGTACTACCCGACAGCAGCGACAAGTCGGCCCGTCGTAGCAGCCACCAATTGAACGACAACTCGCAGAAAAGGTCGAACAGAGTGAAAATTTGAACTTTTCACTTTTTTAGCAATGCCCAAGTCCAGACGTCATCTCCAAAGAGGTTAGGCACCCTGAACTCCTTGAAGTCGATGTGCTTTTTAGCGCCTCGAGGCGTGAGAAGGAGCGGCAGAAGAAGAGCTCGGGCAGCGCGCGTGGCAAGAAGAAGGTTCCGAGCCCGAGGTCAGCAAGAGCTCCTTTTGGTGCCGTGATCGCTTAACTACGGATATCGCACTCCAAGCTCCACTCGTTTTAGCAGCAGCTCCCAAAAAGAGGACAGCACCCAGCCGCCACGTTCGAGCGACTCGGTGCTGCGGAAGCAGGGCGGAGCCGAGCAGAAGTCCGCCGAGAGCCACCACTTCACCACGGACGGCTCGGTAGAGCTGGTGCTCAGCCAGGCGCAGAAGGCCAAGAAGAGCTTGGGTGGGTGGCCGTATAGAGGGTATTGTTGCGCTAAGCAGTTCGTTCCTTAGCGGGGGGGGGACCTAAGATGCACCATGGCACCTCACGACTTCCAGGCTTCCGCAAAGCCATGATTCTTGCCTGTGCTCATGCTTCGCTCATCGGCGGCACTGCCATCATCACCTCCACCGGCCCCAACCTCATCTTCAAGGCACAGCTCGAAAAGTTTAGCGGGCGCCCGTGATTTAACTCGCCCTTCAGAAGCTCACACTCCCAAAACGGGCACCCGCCCTTCTTCCCGATCGAGCTGCACGTTTCCTACTTCGAGTGGGCCGCCATGGCGATGCCGCCCGCCTTCTTCTACCTGTGCGCCTCGTACGCAGTGCTCCTCGTGTGCTTCATGGGCTTCGGGGAGTTGCTGCTGTGGAGGAAGCCGAGTCGTGGGTTTTTGGCACGACATCACTCCAAGGGCGGCGATCTAAACCTAAGCCTAGCCTGACCATAAGCCTAAAGCTAAGCCTAAGCCAAACCTAAGCCAAGCCCAAGCCAAGCCTAAGCCAAAACTAAGCCTAACTAAACCTGAGTCTAAAACTTAACCCAAACCTAAACCAAATTCTGCGATTTTTTAGCCGACGAACAAGCACAGCAGGACAACATCGGCCGGATGATCCGCACCTCCTATGATGACCTCGGCTCGATGACGTTCGCAGAAAAGTCGGTGATGTCGTGGTTCGGGGTGTTGGTGTTGCTGTGGGCCACTCGTGATCTCGGCTTCGTGCGCGGCTGGGGTGATCTGCTCTTCGCACCCGATCACGCGTAAGTTGTACACATGCGTCCACTCACACGCACCCAATTTACAGCAAGATGCTGACCGAGTCAGTGTCCGGCATCGTCGTCGTGTACGTGATGTTCCTGTGGCCAAAGTACGGTTTCGGGGACGAGCAGCGCAGTAGGCGACCCCTGAAGGGTACGTTAAACTGTTTAAGTTATAGCTGGAATGGTCGTTAAATTGGTTTTTCCCGGATAACCCCGTCCACCCTGCTAACAGCTCAGTACCGACAATCCAGAACATAGAGAGAGAGAGAGAGAGAGAGAGAGAGAGAGAGAGAGAGCAAGACAAAGCCTTAATGCGCCTTTTAGCCAACGAGAACGACCGGATCCTGACGTGGCCCATCATCACCGAGAAGCTCAGCTGGTCGATCATCATCCTCGTCGGCTGCGGGTTTTGCATCTCGGAAGGTGTGACGGTAGCTTTAAGGGACGGAGACAACACTCTATGTTGGTATTCAGGCAAGCGGACTGTCGAAAATGGTGGAAGGTTTCGTTAGGGGAATGCACGACGTCAATCCGCTCATTGTCCAAGGCACGTTTCTCTCTCTCTCTCTCTCTCACTCGCTCTCTCTCTTTCTCGCTTTCTCTTGCACTTCCTTCCTCTCTCACGTTCCATCTCTCTCAATCATCTATTTCATTCTTAGCCATCCTCATGGCCGTCGTCGTCGCCATGACCAACTTCATGAGCAACTCCGGCACGGCCAACATTTTCGTGCCGTTGGCTATGGATGCGGTAAGATGCAGTGTAAACCTTATCATTAACGTGTTCATCTACAGGCGAAAGGCCTCAACTGGCACCCATACCGGCTTGGACTTCTCGCCGCCATCGGGCCGTCGTTGGCCTTCATGCTGCCGATGGCCACCCCGTCGAACGCGCTCGTTTATGACACCGGCTACATCTCGTTCTTCGAGCTGGTGGGCGAGAGAAAAATAGAGAAAAAGCGAGAGAGAGAGAGAGAGAGAGAGAACCACCCCCATTCCACCACGTTCCAGTTCTACACCGGCGCCCTGGTCAACGTGTTCTGCATCGCCGTCACCATCTTCAGCGTCAACACCTGGGCGTACTGGGTGCTGAACATGAAGGTCGACGTCTGGGGAATTGCCCCGACGAACGCCACGATGACGCTTTTGAACGGTTCTACAACTGCAGCTCCGGATTTCCCGTCGTCCACCTTTGTGACCCCCTGACTGCTATGATGTACCCTGAACGTCCCTACCACGCTGCTCTCCTACTCTGACATGTACCTTGAACTTCCTTCTATTCGCCATTGTCCCATTGTTCTTGTCGTCGCTATGTGTGTCGATAGGTGTCGTGCGGATAAATGGCTTTCGAAATTGCAGGAGAGAGAGAGAGAGAGAGAGAGAGAGGGAGAGGGAGAGAGAGAGAGAGAGGGAGAGAGGGATATCACAAAGAGAAAGAGACCAAGCAAACTGTCAACATCAAATTTGCATCTGAAGACTGCATCTGTGGCTCACCAGCTTCAGAACGAAATGTCACACGCCTTCATCGCCTAGGCAACACGGGGCTTCTCCAAGATGGGATGTTTTGGTAGCTATTTTTGCCTCTCTCCTAGCTTCGTTTTTTAGCTTACCACAAAGCCCGTATCGCCAAGTTCCTGAAGAACTACTGGATCATCATCGGGCCGATCCTGTTCAGCCCGCTGCTGTTCTTCGGAAAGGTATGACCTGCAATTGCGGGAATTGATATGGTGCGTCAGGCCAAGGAGTCCCCTCCCGTTAACAGTCCAGTAGCCAAAAAAATCCTGTTTCAGCCTCTCCAGTGCGTATGGTGCATCTGCCTGATCGCCAGCTACTGGATCGCCGGTGTGGGACCACTCGGGGTAACCTGTCTCCTCCCCGTGTTCCTGTTCCCCTTCTTCGGCTTCACCTCGGCCCAGAAGGTCGTCTCCTTCTTCTTCAAGGTAATCCGTTACTCAAACGTAATTTACATTCCATCAAGGACACCTCCGTGATGCTGTTCATCACCCTCGGCATGGGCATCGTCGTCGAGGAGGTCAACCTGCATCGGCGGATTGCGCTGAAGATGTTGTGCTGGGTAAAACGTCTTGAAGTCAGTGGACAAGGAGCCTAGATGGGTACTCGTCCAAATCGTCTCCTGTTCGGCTTCATGTGCGTGACCTGCTTCGTGTCGTTCTTCCTCACCGACTCGGCCGCCACGGCATTGATGCTGCCGTTTGCGCTGGCGATTTTGGAGGCGAAGGAGAGCGGAAAAATGTAAGCGAGTGAGATAGGAAGACAGCGACAAGCACCCCGCTTCAACTTGATGCTCAACTCCTAGGACCACGCCGGATAGTGAAACCTCGACCCCCCCAACCCCGAGTACCAACCCGTCCAACGACACGTCCCAAAAAGATGCCGGCAACAAGAGTCTCTCACTGGCTAGGTACAACTCGAGCTTGACAACAACTTCAACAAGTTCAGTCAATCCGGAAAAGCGGCTGTGTCCAGCCCAGAGACGTCGTCCCGGAAGAGGTATCATTAACGCAAAATTAAAATTCGCCTACTCTTTTTCAGCTCGAACAAGAGCCAGAAGAAGAGCAGCTCCCAGAAGCCGAGCAGTTCTAAGAAGCAGAGCAGCGCCCGCAAACAGGGCGGGGCCGAGCAGCCGACGACGACCACCATCGAGACGAACGCGTTCGCGACGGACGCGCAAAAATCTCAGGAGCGCCTCGACAAGGCCGAGATTGTCAGGAAGAACTTGGGTATGGAGAGGGGTGGTTGAACTTTTTGGGAAAGTTGGACATGGGCGGGAAAGAATTTTGGTGGTCAAAAGAATGAAATTCCTATTGCGCAAGAATCGTTGCCTTTTCAGGTTTCCGCAAAGCCATGATCCTGGCCTGCTCGCATGCGTCGCTCATCGGCGGCACCGCCATCATTACCTCCACCGGCCCGAACCTCATCTTCAAGGGCGAGCTCGAGACGTGCGACAATCCTTGGATTTCCGCCTTCACGACCCCCTTTAGACGCTCCCACTCCCAGGACAACCATCCCCCCTTCTTCCCAATCGAGCTGCACGTCTCCTACTTCCAGTGGGCCGCCATGGCAATCCCGCCAGCCTTCCTGTACTTGGTCGCGTCGTACGCGGTGCTGATCGTCTGCTTCTGCGGCTGTGGCGAGCTGCTGCTGTGGAGGAAGCCGGGAGGTGAGCACGGCCGAGGTCCAACCTCAATCTCTTGCAGCCGAGGAGCACCGGCAGCAGCTGAACATCCGCGCCATCATCCACAACTCGTACGAGGATCTGGGGCCGATGACGTGGGCGTTAGCGGGCGTCTCGAACTCCCGAGTTCCAGGTTCGCCGAAACCTCTGTGATGTCGTGGTTCGGGGTGTTGGTGTTGCTGTGGGCCACCCGCGACCTCGGCTTCATCCCCGGCTGGGGTGACTTGATCTTTGAGCCGACGCACGCGTAAGATGGAATGTTCAGTACTTAGGCCCACATCCTTAGGAAGATGATGACCGAGTCGGTGGCGGGCATCGTCGTGCTGTACGTGATGTTCCTGTGGCCACGCTACGGGTTTGGGGATGAACAGAGGAGTAGGAGGCCGATCAATGGTACGTTGCAGAGAGACGCGAGAGAGAGCGAGGGAGAGAGAGAGCCAGAAAAAGCCTTAATGCTCTTTTTAGCCAACGAAAACGACCGTATCCTGACGTGGGCCCTGATCCAGCAGAAGCTCAGCTGGTCGATCATCATGCTCGTCGGCTGCGGCTTTTGCATCTCTGAAGCTGTCAAGGTTTGGCTAATTTTTAAATCTTAAATTTTAAAAAAAAAATCTATTTTAAATCCCTTTGAACTCGCTCGTTTAGGGCAGCGGCCTTGCCAAGGAGGTCGAGCTACTGGTTCGCGGGCTGAGCGGCATCCACCCGATCATGGTGCAGTGTATGCTTTTTGGGTTTGAGCCCTAACGATCCATTTTTCTTACAGTGATCCTGCTCACCGCCGTCGTCGCCATGACCGAGTTCATGAGCAACGCCGGCACGGCCAACATCTTCGTGCCGTTGTCGATGGAGGCGGTGAGGACCGTAGTGCACCTACCCTTAATGCTTGGTTCTTTAGGCAAAGGGCCTCAACTGGCACCCATTCCGGCTTGGACTTCCGGCCGCCATCGGACCGTCGCTGGCCTTCATGCTCCCCATGGCCACGCCCCCAAATGCGCTGGTCTACGACACGGGATACATCTCGTTCTTCGAACTGGTAGGAGGAGGAGAGAGAGATAAAGAGAGAGAGAGGGAGAGAGAAAGAGAAAGGGAGAAAAAGGGAGTGAAAGCGAGCTAGACAGGGTGAGCGAGAGAAAGCGAGAGAGAGAAAGAGAGAGAAAGAGAGAGCAAGAGAAAGAAAGAGCGAGGCAGGGAGAGAGAACGAGAGCGAGATAGAGAGGGACAGTAAGAGAGAGCGAGAGAGAGAGGGAGGGAGGGAGAGAGTGAGAGTGAGAGAGCGAGAGAGTGAGAGAGAAAGAGAGTGAAAAGAGAGCAAAATTATTAATTTCAACATTTCACAAAGAAACCGATTCATTCCAGTTCTACACGGGCGGCGTGCTGAACATCTTCTGCATCGCCGTCACCATCGTCAACATGAACACGTGGGCCTACTGGCTGCTGAACATGAACGTCGACATCTGGGGGATGGCCACCCCGATCACGCCCACGAACGCGACTACGATGTTGCCTACCAACGCTACCATCACAGCCGCCCCCAGTGTCGCTCAATTCGATTTGTGATACCTACTAGCTCCTTTTTCTCTACCCCTTGCCGCAATTTTTCGCCTATTTTTCTACTCGTAATGTACCGTTTCCTCTTCTCTTCTTTGATGTGATTTGGGATGCGTAGCTGCTAGGGAGGTCATATTTTACGGGCGGAATAAAGTTATTCGAACTGGATATTTCTCATTTTGTTGTAAATGTAGCAGTTTCAGATTGTGGTATTTTCGTAAATAGCTAGAGGGGTTTGTAGGAAATCCGCGTATTCCTGCAAAAACGATGAGGGCTGGTTATACAAAAAAATTGATGGATGTGGTTTACTTGCGCTTCAAAAACATGCCAAAGTGTCTTATAATTTCTTGCTATATTTTTGAAAAAAAAAGCCGCTGAAATTTACATAGATTTTCCCAATTTTGTACAAACTCATCATATAACTTCTCGTCAAAAAGCGCTTTGCCTGGCGAAAAAAAAATGGAAAATACGATTCTTTCTAAGTTTTCTCTCCCCTTGTTTTACCGAGCTTCACATTTGGGCTCAAAATTTACCTAGAATATGGTGCAACTTTTAAAATGATGGGTCTTCGGCAGTTTCTGAAAACCGCTTCGGAATCAGCAAAAAAAAACTGCATATTCGAGGCTAATGCATATTAAAACCCCCGAAGGTTTAATCGATAGCCGGAGCAGGGCGCAAGTTTTGACTTTAATGCGCCTGGGCACTCTTGAATTTGAATCAGAAATCCCGCTACGAAGATACTATGCTGACCCTTGCATTCAGCATATTGAGCTTGGCGAAGACTTGGCGATTTTGCAAAATGGGATACTGTATCACCAAATTGCTATTTGCTATCATCTCTTTCAAGCTCAAGGTGGCTCAGGCGAGCCAGACGATTTCGTTGAAAAGTTTTTTTGGGGGTTCCTCGGCAAAATTTCTGCAAATTCAGCAGCAGAGATGGTTGTAAAAATATAGGATAAGCAATTCCACCGGGTTCACTCCTTCCACCTACCTGGTATCGTATCCCTACCGCCACGCCGTGCATCATAAAAAAAATTGGATACCCAAAACACGGGGTGGGGCATATCCGCTCGCTGGCTCGCCTCTCTTTCTCTCTGGCTCTCTATCTCTCTCGCTCTCTCTTTCACTCTCGTTCTCTCTATCTCTCTCGCTCTCTCTCTCGCTCTCTCTCTCTCAATATTATCACATTCCGTTCCGGCACACCGCGAAGAAATTTCGAACCCGTTCCTTTTTTTGCTTTCTCGCTTTCTTTTTTATTTTTATTTCTCTGCTTTGCTCCGGCCAGTCAAATCACGCTATTTTTCTGAATTTTATGGGGTTAAGTTTGATAATTTATTGCGGTAGGCCACGTGTATCTGTCAAAATCCCGGGGATCAAGGGGTCTAGTCGGACCACCCAGTCAGGCGACTAGACGCGAAAAAACGTGCCCAATGATGTGTATATAGTCAAGTGGAACGGGGTGGGGGATATGGGTATCGTACCTGGACCGGAAACTCGAAACTAATACCATATTATGCCGCCGCTTCAAATCGACTTTGAGAAAGAGGCCAAAGGTCCCCGGCTGGTGTACTTTAAGGAGGTAGCGTCGTTAATTGGTGGAAAATGCAAATTTTGTGGTTTGAAAGCCTTTAACCAAACTTAAAACTTAAAATTGTTACCCTTGAAGTGGAATCCTTTTCAAAATTATCCTCCCTGGATAGCATTAGAATGATAAAACCGACTTTTCTTAACCTAAAAGTTCCAGAAAAACCTATAGCGAAACTGTTAATTGATGAGTATTAAGATGTGTACCTTTTTGGTTTTGATTTTCTCGTTAAACAACACGAAATTTAAATTTTTTTGAGGGAAATTTTGAAGCATTGCACACCTTAAGCAATTTTTTTCAAAACGTTTTTATGATGCAAATCGATTTTCAGATCTCCCGGAATCACTTTGAATACCAATTCGCAGGCTTGCCGCTGCAACGGAAAATTGACGGCTTCGATTTCGAGCCGATCCAGCCGGATGGCTTCGGGTTTGACGTGGAGGACTTTAGGTGATTCAAAGAAAACTTCAAAAGCAGCTCCAAAAACTGGCATGTAATTAAGTAATGTCAAGCTCTTAAAACAAGCCAGATTTTCAGAAATGCCAAACACCTCTTCGTCCGAGATGATGATGTCTTTGTGCTGACCTACCCGAAAAGCGGAACCACATGGATTCAGAATATTGTGTATCAGATTTTGCATGGGAAAACGGCAGAAAGTAAGCGATTTAGAAGTCTGGGTGATTTCCTCAAAGGGTTTCTGCAAGCCCAATTTTTGCAGTTCAATACATGGCATCCCCAATGCTCGAATTCTTTGGCCCGAAATATGTAGACGAACTGGAGTCCCCGAGGATTATTAAGGTATCCGAAAATATTACTGTAAAAAATTGACTCTGGGCGTTCAGAAAGGCCAAATTTTACGGTTTTCAAACCCTAAAGAAGTAACTTAAACTTAAATTCCCAAAAATAATGCTTTTCTAGGCCCGAAAATTGAAAAATCTTAAATGATACACGTTTGAAAACCACCTAAATTGAGAAATATAGTCCCATCTCCGCCCCGAAATGCTGCCAAACCTCAGTGATGCAAAATTCATCTTCGCCGCCCGGAATCCAAAGGATTTGTGCGTCAGGTAAGTACCGTAATCCACGCATTTATCCCTCAAGTTTAGTTACTATCATCATTTCAAAAATATGAAAGCCTATGAATGTAAAGATATGGAATTCGACGACTTTTTCGAATTTTTCATGGATGGGACGACAAGTTATGGCGATTATTTTGAGTATTTGAAAAGGTAGGTGTTCTCTGGGTGTCTATCATTCTCTCTCTCTCGCTCTCTTTCCTCTCTCTCTCTCTCTCTCTCTCTCTCTCTCTCTCTCTCTTCCACATCCAATCATTTTTCAGGTTCTTCCCACTTTTATCAAACGCAAACTGGTATACCGTACTGTATGAAGAATTACTGGCCGAACCGAGGAAACATATTGAGAAGTAAGTTCTCAATCAGGCGTTCGATGAAAATATCAGGTTTAGATCAAATCTATAAAACGTTTTTAAAATTTTAATTTAGAATGGCGAAGCACCTCGGAGTTGAATTGAATTCTACCCGACTGGACGAGATCTTGAAAGCAACCAGCTTCAGCGAGATGAAGACCGCCGCTAGCAAATTTTTCCCTGATGAAGTTTTGTGAGTTTTAGGTCCTAACTTTTGTAGTTTGTACGTTCGAATTGAACACCATTTGTTGTTTAGCCGAAACAACGAGAAAGACACTGACAGTCCGGTGAACACCCACTTCCGGCAAGGAAAATCTGGGGATTGGCGGAATTGGTTGACGTGAGTTTCTTTTTGGCTTGCAGTATTAAGATTGATTGGAAGAGCGAGAGAGAGAGAGAGAGAGAGAGAGAGAGAGAGAGAGAAAGAAAGAGAGAGAGAGAGAGAAAGAGAGGTTGATGGAGTCAAAGTGCTGAAGATAGCCCGTTTTTAGAAAATCCCAAAGCGAGCGTATGGACCAGAAGTGTGCGCGAGCCCTCGCCGGTACGGTAGCGGAAAATTGGTGGAAAGAAGAGATGAAATGGAAATGATCTATTCTATCATAAATATATATTATTTTTGTATAAATTTACTATCGTTTCCATCAAACAAAAAAAGAGGACATACAACACTTACACATTTACCACCGTTTCAAAAAGGTTCGGTGGCAAGTATTTGAAAAATCTTGACTTTAGCTTGAAACTTCGTTGGGCAAAGCGTTACCGCATTTTCGGAAATAGCAAGTATCTAAAACATTCTGAGGCTTCGGAAGCATCAAATTTAAGCAGTTTCAAATTTATACATTCCGATTGTTGGCATTCTAAAGCAAATCCGTTTGAATTTTTGTCCTTTTATTCTACCGTATTCTTTAAATTTCGTTTGGCAAAGATTACAACCTGCCGCAGATGCAACCGATAAAAAAATGTGATCGGCGTTTTGTAGACAGGCAAGCCATCATTTTTGCTTTATCACGATTGCCCTCTCAGGGTTCCCTAAGTCCGTGTTTCTTTGTGAACCGCGGCAATCTCAGGCCATTGCTGGCAAGTTTCAGTTTTTCTGACACTTCTTCTCATCGTGGCTGCGCGATGTTCGAGCCTAGTTTCCGGCGCTTAAACGTGGTGCTGGCGTGGTTGTTTGATCATCGAATCATCACCTTCTATAAGAAGCGACACGGTACGGTTTTTCTCACTTTTTGTCGCCGCCAAAATCAGACATCGATGCTGTCGCTGCGGAAGGAGTTCGAGAATCCCGCGGGCTTTCAGCTGAATTATTTTCGAGTGGTGAATTTTTGGTGCCGCGTATAGTTTGTCTCAACAATTTTGATGGCTTCTCCGGGTACTGTACAGGGTGTCCCAAAATTATCCGGACAAAACTGAAAACTGACTTTTTCAATTTTGCCGCTGTTTTCGGCCTTCACATTGTATTTCATAATATTTTTTGAGGCATTTTCGATGCATCGTGCAAAAAAAAATTCTTGGAGAACGCATTAATAGCTTCACAATCGAGCGAAGAGCGTGTTAAAATTTTTCGCCTCTTAAATAACATAAAAACTGGGGTAAGCTTTCAAAATGCGTTCAGACATTTTTGTGGGCTAGAAATGAAGTTTTCTGGCAAAACGGACCTAACTCCGCCAAGATTCCGACATGTTAATGGTCATTTTTCCGTTTAATACCGATTTCAGTCCCATTTCCGGGGATGGTGTTTCGGTGCTTGCTCGTGCTGAAGCTCCTCAAAAACCAAAGTTGGCTTAATTTAAACAGCTTGTACTTCATCGTTACCGTCAAAAGTTTATCCTCTGGTTTTTGACAAGATTAATATCGCGTTTTTAGGGTTCTTCCGGGGCAAATCCTTTAAAGTAACTGGGGCGGCGCCTACCTTGATTTCAACTTTTTTGCCCGCTGTTTTTCTCTGGTGTAAACCTAGGGTTTTTGGGTCGACTAGAGTGTTGACTGATCATTTCCAAACTCTTCCTGTGGTTTCTTAGTTGGTCCGATCATGCTGAAGTTTTTTTATGGGATCGGAAACAACGCGCTTTTTCAGCGTTTGCAAGGGGCTAGGAAATTCGTTCAACCTTCCTCTATTTGTGCCGAAGAGATATAATGGATTCACGCGCAGTTTTCTTTTTCAGCTATTTAAATACACTTCAAAGATTCATAGAAAGTATATTATGGTCTGCGAAAACAGGGAAAAAATAGGAAGAAGCCGCTTTGAAACTTTGTCCGGATAATTTTGGGACACCCTGTAGATCCGAACTATAGCCATAATCCGGAAATCCAAAACCCCGTCATGGAAAATTCCCGAAAAACAAAACTGTCGGGATTTTGACGGTCGGAATCGTGGCTGTCGAAGCTGTGGCTTTCGGGATTGGGCTGTTTCCCCGATAGTTAGATAGTAACCTTCACACTATACGAGAATTTTTGAATCCCAGATCTCAAAAGGCCATGTCGAATACCAGTTCGACGGGTTGCCGCTTCTACGCAAGATCAATGGCCTAACTTTCGAACCGCTTCAGCCTGCTGGCTTTGATGTTGAGGACTTAAAGTATGTGTTTCAGCGTGTAACACGAAGAAAATTAAGAAATTCCAAGCATCTAAAAGTCCGTAACGACGATGTCTTTGTACTGACGTACCCAAAAAGTGGGACAACATGGATCCAAAATATTGTCTATCAGATTTTGCACGGGCAGGAGTCAGATGGTAGTCTATGGCCCATAAAATACCACCGTACCCTTTCAGCCTTGTATCGAGCCTCACCAATGCTGGAGTTCTTGGGCCCAAAATATGTGGACGGATTGGAGTCGCCGAGAATCATTAAGGTAGATAGTAAACTTATTGCTAAAGGAACAAAACGAGACACGAAAAAAAAGAGGGCATCATGAAATTTCAGAGTCATCTTGGGCTGGATATGCTTCCAAATCTCGATAGCGCTAGGGTAATTTTCGTAGCCCGAAACCCGAAGGACGTGTGTGTCAGGTAAATTTACCCATCCAGAAAAGGTCCGATTTTTCAGCTACTACCATCACTATAAAAACCTGAAAGCCTACAAATGCAAAGATATCCAATTTGACGACTTTTTCGAGCTGTTCATCGACGGGACGGCGAGCTACGGGGATTATTTCGAGCATTTAAAGGAGTATATTAAAGCATAGGTCCTGGAAAAAACCTTTAGTTACTTGCCTCATCTCGGAAATTCAAATTTCTACGCAGTGCTGTACGAGGAATTGCTCGAAGACCCAAGGAAGCAGATCGCGGGGTACTACTTTACTCTAAAAACTTCAAGAAAATGTTTTCAGAATAGCTGAACTGCTCGGAAAACCGCTCGATGCACCCCGCGTCGCAGAGATTGCAGCTTCCAGTAACTTCCACAGAATGCAAAAGACGGCCAGAAAATTTTTCCGCGACGGTGCTTTGTGAGCTTGGAAACTTTGAAAGCTAAATGTTTTTTTTGTGCAGCCGAGACGATGACAAGGAAGATCATGCTCCTGTAAACAAGCATTTTCGAAATGGTCGATCCGAGGATTGGCGCAATTATTTTACGTAAGTCTGCTATACGCCAGGTGCCATCATTTTTTAGGCAATCACAAAGCGATCGTATCGATGCGAAATTTTCACAGGTCCTCGAAGGGACTGTAGCGGAAAACTGGTGGCACGAGGAGATGAAATGGAAATGATTTTTCTCAATGCCTGTACATAAAATTATTGCGGAGGTTTTGAAAGTCTATCTCTATTTCGTTCTGTCGCTCACTCTCACTCACTTTCTCTCTCTCACTCTCTCTCACTCTCTCTTTGTCTCTCTCGCTTTCTCTCTCTCGCTTTCTCTCTCTCTCTCTCTAGCTCACACTCTCACACCTTCTTTCTGGCTTTCTCTCGCTCTCACCTTTGCATCTTCTTCAAAAATCACTTTATCACGCGAGAAAACTACACAAAGCAAATCACATGCAAAAGCCAACTCCGGCATACCGGTAAGGAGATCATCGAAAAAACAATCGGACAGAAACGTATTCTAATAATAAAAAGTTTAGGGGCGAGTGGATCATTCAATGCCGTTGAGGCTCATGGCATGAGCGGATGGGGTGGGTGGCATTTGGAGCGTCGTGTTGCCGGGGGCCCGTTCAAGCCATTTGTGCTCGTCCATGTTGAACCACCAGTACGCCCACGTGTTCATGTTCAGCATCGTGGCGCCGACACAGAAGACGCTCAGCAAGCCGCCCGAGTAGACCTGAAAAGTGGGATTGGCTGCTGAACTGTTTGAACCTGTCGTTGAGCCTGCTTCGTGTATTCTACAAATTACGCTGGTCGGTATATTTTTGCCCAGCTGCTCGGCCTTGTCTCTCTCTCTCTATCTCTCTCTCGATCTCGCGCTCTCTCTCTCCCTTTCCCCCCCTTTCTCTATCCCTCTCTCTATCTCTCTCTCTCTCTCTCTCTCTCCCCCTCTCTCACCATTTCCCAAAACGTAATCTCGCCCGTCTCGAAGACGAGCGCATTCGGCGGGGTGGCCATCGGCAGCATGAAGGCCAGCGACGGTCCGATGGCGGCCGGGATTCCGAGGTAGTACGGGTGCATTTTGAGACTCTGCGCCTAAACGACGACGTCAACGTGGACGGCGAGCTTTCAAGACAATTTTAAAATACCAACCGCCCCCAAAAACAGCGGTACAAAGATGCTGGCCGTGCTGGAGTTGCTCACGAACTCGGTGAGCACGACGACGATCAGGAGGCATATTACTAGGGCAGAAAGAAATTGGAAAAAGCATGAAAGTATACATTGAAGTAATAATGGGTCGAGACCGCTCAGTTCTTCCTTGAGAAGGTCTTCGATCTGGGAGGAAAGGCCGCTTTCCTGAAGGATTACGGTAGATAGGGATGGGAGAGAGTAAGACAGAGCGATAGTGAGAGAGAGAGAAAGAGAGAGACGGAGAGAGTGAGAGAGAGAGAAATATTAGCTTACCTTGACAGCAGTGGAGATGGCGAACCCGCAGCCGACGAGGAACAACAACGACCAAGCCAACTTGTGCTGCAGCATCGACCAGGTTAACAGCTTTTCCGGGCCCTCACCTTTAAAGAGCGACATTGAAGCAGACAGAGAGAGGAAGCGAGAGAGAGAGACCGAGGGAGTGAGAGAGAGAGAGAGAAAGATACCTTTAGTCCTTGTCCTCACATCCCACGGGTTGTACCTCGGCCAGACGAACATCAGGTAGAGTACGATGATGCCAGGTGTGGCGTCGGTCATGTAGTCGCTGAAATTGGCGCATGAATGGCAGGTTTAGGAAACCTCTCTTGCTCTCTCTCTCTCTCTCTCTCTCTCTCTCTCTCTCTCTTCTCTTTCTCTCTCTCTCTCTTTCTCTCTCTCTCTCTCTAGCTCCAACTCACTAATGATCTTCCGAAAACAGCAGCGGTCCCCAGCCGAGGTTGATGAAGCCGAGGTCGCGGGTGAGCCAGGCGAGCGTCAGCGCTCCCACCCAGAACATCACCCACTTTTCGGCCCACGTCACCTTCCCGAGATCTTGGTAGGAGCCGCGGAGGACGAGGCGGATGTGCTCTTGCTCGACGCGTTCATGGCCTGAAAGTGTAGGTTTTTAGGTCTCACTCTCTCTCTCTCTCGCTATCACACCTCTCTCTCTCTATCTCTTTCCATCTCTCGCTCCGAAATACCCACGTTTTGTCTTCCTCCAAAACCCAAACAGCTCCATCGGACCCATGAAGCAGACCTAAGGTAAGGCATCAATTTTTAAGCTTCCTTAAGTGAAAATACCAGCAATACCAAGTACGATGCAATCATGTAGAGACACATGGGCGGGATGGCAAAGACGGCCCAGTCGAAGAAGGTTATCTCCATCTTGGGCAGGACACCCATGCCAACCAGGCTGAAAGCAATATAGGCAGACATAGACGGAAAGAGCGCGAGAAAAAGAGAGAGGGACAGATAGAAAGGGAGAGAGAGGGAGAGAGAGAGCTAGTTAGAGAGAGAAAGCTACTGAGAGAGATAGTGAGAGAGAAAGCGCAAGTTAGAGGAAACGACCGATCGAAATTTCAACCCACTGCTTCAGCTGCGATTGAAAAATCAGATTCGGGCCGGTCGACGTCAGAATCGCGGTGCCGCCGACGAGTGAAGCATGGGAGCACGAGAGGATCAGCGCTTTCCGGAAACCTGACACCATAGATTACAACTGTACGGTGGCAATACCGTACCCTTGTCCTCTTCCTTGTCCTTCTCTTTTTTCGTCACCTTCTCGACGTCTTCCGTGTTTGGGGTTTGCGTTTGTCGGGCGTTGCTGGAGAGAGCGTGACCTGGCGTTCGCGGGTCGTGCCCGCCCGTTTTTCGGCGCATCTCGGAAAGTGTCCTAAGCAAACATTAAGCAATCAATTAGGGCAGGTAAATTTACGCGCGTTGCGTCTCGTCGAGAGTGCCCTCGCGTCGCGGCCTTGGCGTGTCCCTCTTTTGACGTCCTGTGGAGCCGGAACTGAAAAAAAAGTTTTCTAGCTTTCTCTCATTCTTTCCCTCTCCCTCCCTCTCTCTCTCGCTCGAAAACTCACGCTCTCTCAGAGCTCTCGCCTCCCGTGTTTTGCGGGTTCTGGCTCTTCAGGCGACCCTCTTTGCGTTTTCGGCCGGAACTAAAAATAAATATTTTTTTTAGAACATTCTCTCCCCTTTCCCTCTCTATCTCTCTTCGGCGCTCTCTCTCTCTCTCTCTCTCTCTCTCTCTCTCGCTCTCTCTTTACCTCTTATCCGTTGATCCCGAACCGCCAGACGATGCCGCTTTTGGTAGACTTTTTGCTGGTTTTGCTTGCTGGCGCTTCCGTTGGGTACTGCAGCGTAACTAACTTGTTTTCGAAAGGTCGTCGTAGGCGGTCGCAAATCAGTAGAGATTTTTGGGACTCTTCACCGCGAGAAGAACGCAAAAAATCAAGCGGTTCGGCTCCCACCTAGCATCCGAAGCCGCAGAAGCTGCCGACCGTTGATGGCTCCTCCTGCGCTTGAGTCGACGGTTCCTACGCGGCGAACTAGGGTTTTGTTAAGGCTTGAATGATATATGTAGAAACCTCTCATCAGAACCCGACGGGATGGCACTTGGGTTGCTGGGGGCGCGCTTCAGGCCTGGCTGGTCTCGGCCCTCTTCGGTGCGACTAAAAAGAATCTTACGGCGTGAGACCAATCCAAACTTGTTGTCACCGCCCCTTTAAAGAAGCAAAAAACGAGACTCAACCCCCTTCCTACTAGGTCTCGACAATGACACAAGGCTCCAAAACAAGAAAAAAAAGGCCGCCTCTACCTCTGCTTTTCCGACGCCACCGATTTCCGGTCGTTTCGCTCGCCTCGAGGTCTACGACGCTTCAGTTTTCTGGTGTCGGACCTAAGATACAAAGTGAAATGATCAAACGGTGATATTCTACGGTTTGTCGTTGCTGAGAATCTGGTGGTCATCCTCCGGGGGTTCACTGTGCATCGAGCGGTCACCAGAGTCGTTGTGTTCGGTGGTGGGCGTGCCTCTTTTTTCTAAGTCCGAGCATAAGAATCGGCTCTATACCCAGAATTTGGCAGAGTTGGTGTTCAGATACGACGTAAATGGATTAAAAAATCGGATAGATCTAATATAAATACAGTATTTGAGGGTACTACGATAATTATAATCCTTACGGTCTTCGCTTGTCGGGTGATGGGGCCGTTTGCTCGGGCAGATGTGGGACCGGATGATCGGGGTGATGGCTGTCCTCCTGCATCTTGGCCACCTTGGACGGGTCGACGAAGACACCGCTTTGGAGGCTAAATCAGGATGGAAATCTACTGTCACTGTTCCTTTAAAACAGCATACAACAGAGAAAGAGAAAGAGAGAGCGAGAGTGCGAGCCAAAGAAAGTGAGAGAGAGCGATAGAGAAATTTCAATAATTTCCACCTCTGCTTGCCGTGCTGCTTCGCCTCAAGAACTGCATGCGCAAACGGCAACATCAGAGCGGTGGCCGCATAGTCGGTCAGGAAAAACGACATGAAGCCGGTGATCAGCATGAAGCCGAAGAGCAGACGATTCGGGCGGGTTCCGGTCTAAAAAATCGAGGTTTGGATAAGCCAGCCAAGATAATTTACAGGGCAGATCCTGATTTATTAGTTCAGAACGTCATACGCAGCACAACATCTTCAGCGCTATCCGCTTGTGCAGGTTGACCTCCTCGACGACGACGCCGAGGGCGAGGGTGATGAACAGCATGACGGTGGCGTCCTAAATATGTTTGAATCAATAATTTCCTCTCGCTCTCTCGCTCTCTCGCTCTCTCTCTCTCCCTGTCTCTTTCACGCAGTCGCCCTTTCTTTACCTTGAAGTAGGATCCAATAACCGCCTCGATTGTCATAATCCGAAAAACCGGAAATAGGAAGATGGGCAGCAGGCTGGTGACGCCGTAGTGGGCAGTCTGAACCAATTTGGGTACCGCTAATTTGAACGCAAAACCTGGGTAATCCAGTGGCTGACGATTAGGCAGATGCAGAATACACACTGGAGCGCCTGAAGTAAAAAAGTTAGTTGGAGGTGAGGGGGGGGGGGGGGGGAGAGAGGAGAGAGAGAGAGAGAGAGAGAGAGAGAGAGAGAGAGAGAGAGCAGGAGAGGGCAACTACCTTCCCAAACGCGCACAGCGGGCTGAACACCAGCGGCCCGATGATGACCCAGTAGGTGCCGAAGAAGGTGGCGAGCTCATTTAGGTAGGTGCCTGGAAAAACAACAAGAAATGAAAATTCTCAGATTTCCCTACCTAGACATCCCATTCGGGACCAGCCCCTAGTGAGTGGGATCGACAACTGAGACGAAATGAAGATGTGGCGGTTTTTTCTGCAATGCACAAATTTTCGCGATGCGTATGCAAATTAGGTAAACAAATTTTTATACGAGTTTTTAGCATGGCTTTGGGTCGAAATTACAAGATGGGGCATTGAAAAATCAATGTTTATTGAAGTTCCTGTCTATCAAACTGTTCTCAGGTTTTTAGATTCAGCAATTCAAAAAGTTTAAAATTTATTTAGAAACTGGAATTATCCGATTTTGTTGTCAATATCGGTTTCATGCGGTTTTATCTTGTCTGCATTTAATTTTTTCACATGCATTTACACCCGACCGAAAAATTGGTAATTGCCTCCGAATTTCGCAATTTAAAAATTGCTTTATCTTTAGCTTTTATCATGATTTGTTGCCCATTCATAAACTTTGGTATTTATTTGCGAAATTAATTTTATTTCAATATATCGGGTTGCTGCTGATTTATTTTGTTGGTATTTTTTACGTATGCATTTATATCTGAAACTATTATAATATCGTCCCTTCACGGTCCTTTTAATCCGAGTTCCCTCCGGATCCGACACAAAGCCGTTGCTGTTGAGGTTCCTTGCCATTTTGCCGGTGCTAGTTTTGGCGAAAATGAACGCTTGAAGTTGTTCCTGTCACTGTCCATTTAACGGGTCTGTTCGCTCAGATCGGGCGTAATGCTGAGCGCGTTTTAATATTCGGCCCGTTCCCATTCAAAAACCACGAAAACAGGGCCCAACGCTGCCGATCATCGATTTCCAGCTCGGCACTTCCGATTCTCACCTCGGTTTTTCTAGACCCAAATTTATGCATGTCCCTTGTCGATTCCTAGAAAAAACATGAAAATATCGACGCTCTGCATTCTTGTGCTCTTCTCTCTGATGTTGAGGAGGTATCTAAGGAAGCTGCACATTGACTGGGATGCCGTTGCCGATCGTTCGGCCAATATTCTGCTCTACTTTATTATTTCCATGCAGTTGATATTGGCTGATGATGCCGGGCTGGAGGAGGTGGTGCTCGAAATGAGGAATGAAAGGAATGAGAGAAATACGGCGGTTGTCGAAGCCGATAAAGCTTTTTGAAAAGCATGAGCTTACACGATAAACAATTTATACTTTTTTATGAAACAGGGTCTGGTTTTGCGACACCCTTAATATCCTTTCAAAAATAAGTTAATATACGATTTTTTTTGCGGATTTTTAAGCGTTTTTGGCACAATTTCCGTTTAATTTTTTTTGGCTCTCCCTGGCTTTCTCTCTCTCTCTCTTTCTCTGTCTCTCTCTCTCCTTATTAGATGCCATCATCAATTTCTGTTTCCCCGACTAATCCCTAAACGTTGCCCCAGTTGCTATCACCCTGGCAACACGCTAAAAGAGCGTTCGACAGCTGAATTCACCTAAAGCATGCCTCATCATTTCCGTTCTGATAAGTGCGTATAGAAATTCCACAATGCTACGTTTTTGCAACTAGGAATTACTATGATTCTCTGGATCCTGTTCTTCAGCTTTATTCTTGGCTATGTTCGTCCAAAGCTCGCGAAAATCGATTGGAGCCCATACCGACGAAGATTTCAAAATGTTATCTTGACGTTTCTGATGTGCTGTCATATTTTTTGTGCTGATGATGCTGGAACAGACAAATTGTTGGTTGAGTATAATTTAATAAACGTAATTTGAAAGTGTTGAATTTTGAAATGCGTGTTTTGACACGCTAAATTTTGACCTTGTAATTTTCGACAATAAAATGTCGACAATCGAAAATTTTGCTAGCCTGATATTTAAATGAAATCAAATCATACCGAAACATTTAACAAGCTCCAAATTTCGATAAATAACAATAAGCCATTTTTTTATGGAATGGTTGAAAGAATTCTAAAAAATAATTATCGTGCCCATAGCAAAGCTTTGTAGTTCATAGTAACTCTAAATTGTGCTTTAATTGCGTTAATCTCTATGGTACCCTAAAAATAATTTTCAACGATTTATTTAACTCAGCAAATTAAATCTCCAAAACGCGAAAACAATAAATAGAATCTCATTTTTCAACTACAAAATGACCTAAAATGATATTTTTTTTTCGAGGCTCCTCAAAAATATACAAGTCGTATCACAACGGGATCAGTTTTTTGGGGAGTCTCCCCCCAAAAAAGCGTAGAAATTAATGTCATTTGAACCATAGAAGGTGCCAGAATGTCATTGGGAAATTCGTGAAAATTAGAAAATTAATCTGCAAAATCATTGAGAATTTATACCCGTTTCGCACTAATCAATCGCTGAAAGCCATGAAGCTGCAGGGGAGCTCGGGCTCAAAAATTAGAATAGAAATCTCGACAAGACACCGATAAAGGCAATAACCGTAGTGAGGTGGGCGGCCGGCGAGCAGGGCATTCCTTTTTCGTCCTGGAATCGGGGTTGGAATTTCATAAGAATTATTTTTGTGGTTTTAAAGGGACTCAGAAGGCTAGAATCGCACCCGGCTGTAGGATCTGTCTCCCTGATTAACACCTTGTGCTCCTCCCCATAAAGAGCACGTTCAGGGAGGGGCCATGTACTCGTCCCATCGTGTACACCCTATGGACGTAGGGACCGCGCGCACTGTCTGCCCGTGCCGTGGGAGGCAATTTCCCTCCTTTGCGGCTCTCATCCTCTGGCCAGGTTGTCGCTTTGGTTGACTGGTATGCATCCGCACCTCCCGAGCGGGGGGTCCGGGTTCGACCCCCGGCCGCGGCAAAAATCTTTGCTTTTTCCAAAAAAAAACGTCTCTGAACGTGCCCTTTAAAGGTATGGTGCGGTCCCGATAGTTCCACAAAGTTGGTAGGAAGCTGGTAAATGCAAAAATTCAATCGATACGCTAGGTTACTCCGAGCCCCACCATGTGACTAGAAAATTTCCACGCTTTCACGGCCCTTTAAAACGTATGTTCAGCTAACAGTAGCACTGTACAGGGTGTCCAAAACCCTCTAGAGGCCGTCAATCGGATCGGATCGGAATGATTTTTATACCAATCGAAAGCTCTCGGAAAGGCGAGAAAACAAGCGGGTTTCGTTTTCTAAGATTTAATCTGATTCTATCGATATTTCAGGTTTTCTTAAAAAGCCGGGAATTTTTCATCAGGAATTTCGCAATTAGCATGCAGATCTCGCATAAATCAGCAGTTTTCATGGTTTTTGGACATAAAATTAGCAAATAAAAAGGCTTAATTAAGAAATTCAACCCTCCTTGTTTTCTCGCCTTTTCGAGAGCTTTCGATAGATACCTAAATCGTAAAAATCGGAATCGACTGCGGACCGCTAGGTAGGGGGGTTTTTTTTTTGGGACACCCTGTAGATACACTTACAATCATTCCGGGGAAACAGCGCTTCTTCCGGTTTGGCCGATCTGAACGAACGTGTCGGCACTTGCTCTCCGTCGTGTTGTGCTCCGTGCTCTTCCAAATGAAGGGCACCTGAAAAGTAATTTTATGGTTAGCCGACCTATAGCTTTATTCTACAAAACCTATGTGCGTACTCTAGAAACTATAAGCAAAGAATTTACTTGCAAATTTTACTTACCGGACTCGGGTAGTTGAGCGGACAGTGCGCCGACTCGTAGCAGTGCATCGAGTCCTTGGTCTGGGTGATCCACACCATGATCAGGTTGGTGTTTGGCACGCTGTGGGCTTGCATCCGGCTAAAATTACCATTAAGTCGTATCAAAATCATTAATATTATTTTTAAGGTGTCCCTGCACCCATTTTGGCCTACTGTAATTTTTCAGACTTACACAGCGCACTTGGTGTTGATGCACGGCTTCTCGGCGCGGCCTCCGTCGACCAGGTCTCCAGCTAAAAAAAATTATTACTATTACAGTATCCCCCTCAAATTAATACGACGTAATTAATAATTAAGTTCTATCAAAAACTTACATCTGGTTTCGTCATCAGGTTGTTGGTAGTAAAAAGGCGTCTCCTTGGTGCAAGGGAACCCATCGTGAGCCGTGTGGAACGACGCGGTGAAGGCTGAAGAATAGGATTGCAAATTTCGCGAAAAAATTTGGGGTTACTGGATTACGGTAGTTAAAGAGGGTTCTGACGATTCTTAGCAAAAATAATATCCATAAGCAATTTTCTGGTTTTCAAGAAGGTAGAACTTGAATCCGCACCTTCAGCCGTGTTGATGAACTGGTGGAAAAACGGGAACAAGGACAGTTGCTTGGCCGAGAGTAGCAACTTGTTGGTGAATCTCATGAAGTAGGCAATGATCGAGGTGATCGGCCTTCTCAAGGAGTATCCAGATTGAGTGACGGGTTTCGGCTTCAAGCAGGTGGCTTGGTGGTCGTAGTACATGTATCTGCAAGACACCTGGATGAGGCTCTCTCTCTACCTCTATCTCTCTCTCTCTCTCTCTCTCTCTCTCTCTTTCTCTCTCCTCTCCCTCTCGCTCCCTTGTCGGAAACCCACTTTTTATAAAATCCACGATGCACCAGCAGCTCCATGGCCCTTTCTGCCACTCGATTGATGTGAGCAAAGAAGACTCCAAGATGAGATTCACCTCCACGAAGGTCCCTGGAAAATTACGGGTATTTTGAGACATAAATATTACATCTACTATCGTAAAATAGATTTTCGATTTTACGAATAAAATTGAAATTCCAGCCTGATAATCGACATGCAAAGATCTTTTGGAAACTTACATATAAGCGTTTTTATACGACGTAGCCGCATCGTTACTGTAGACGACGTAGCCGTGCTCGTCGAGCAGCACACACCAATGTTGCCAATCCTGGAAAGAAATGTTTCATTAATGCACATGCCCGAGGTCCAAGTAAGTCTCTCCCTCTCTCTCTCGCACTCTCTCACTCTCCCTCACTATCTCGCGCTCTCTCCTTACCGATGGTGGACATCCATGATTTGTCATCGTATTCACCAGCCAATCCATCACAAACTCGAGGCCGGCGACTCCAAGCAGGGCATCTTCCTGGAAACAGACTTTTTCAAAAATTCCTTTTCTGGCTTTTCAAAGCAGTGGGCTTAGAAAATCATAAATTTTCCAGCTAAAAAAAAGTTGGTGATGGCGCGTGGTTTGCTGAGCCGGTTGACAACGAGTATAGCCGGTGGAATGCGGGATTTAAATCGCGATTCAGGAAAGACAGCAAATTCGCTTTTTTCTGGATTGGGGGAATCTTAGCGGAAAATTCGAGTATTACCACAATTTCCACATTGTGCTCGTCCCGGCGGCGGTCGGTCTTTAGCGGATTCGGGTTTTTTGTATTTTTTTTGAGGTTTGGAGAAATTCAGAATTAGTTTTCGACGCTCTCAACTTTGAGGCTGGCGTTAAAGGGACTGACAAGGCAAAATTATCAACTTTTGGGCTATGAAAAATCAGGCATTTGGTACAAACACGGCGCTCGGATTTCCATAGCGCCATTTTTTCTTGTTTGCGCGACGATTTAATTTCGGATTTTACGCTTTTGAAGGGTTATTTCTACATTTAAATTCGCTAACATTTTAAAGCTCCCTAAAACTGATACATCATTCTTAGAAACAAAATATACCCAAAATTCTGACCTTATAAATGGCTTTCGTCGCCTGGCCGAGCAGCGTCACGTTCTCCAGAATGCCGTACGCCGACTTGGTCTCTCCCATCGGGTACCAAAGTTTCGCTAAAAATTCGTAGTTAGTTTTGCCCTTAAAACGGAATACAAAACAAAAATCCTCTAAAATTAAAGCAAGCAGAAAGCATGACTTACAAGAATTGTTGATGTCAAACACGATCTTGTCCTTTTGCCGAATCGATCGCCGGAAGTAGCGGTCTTCCACCGATTTCCGGTTGATTTCGGTGATGAAGTGTTGGTAGCTCCTGAAAAACGCATTTAATCGATTTTCCGTAAGAATTTCTGCTAGAGCGAATAATTCCTTGTTCAACAGCTCGTTCATCTACAGCATACTGCTGGGGTTTTTTTCTAATAGTAAACCATCCAACTCGGTTGACGTCAACTTTTCCAAGAATTTCATCTATTCCGCAAATAACCACTGCTAGTTAGCGTCACCCGTGCTCCGGAAGTTGGTCCTCTACTCGAAACTTTCCCGCGCTCAAAGCTTCTCATCTAGCTGACTAAGCCAAACGACTTGCAGAGGAGCGTCCAATAAAATATAGGACTCACTCCTGGAATCGGACTTCATCCTCCCGCAACTGCTTCCCCTCAGTCATCTGGATGACGTTGAACATATCGTAGTTCTTCTCGTTGTAGAGGAACGACTCGAGCGTGTAGTTGTAGTAGCGGATCAGGCCGGACTGCGTCGCGAAGAAGGTCAGGTGGATGAGATTTCTGAAGATCACCATTTTTCGGGATGCTGAACTTGTTGAAGTCAGCGAGTTCTAAGCTGCACGGAAAACCTTTAAAAATCTTTCTAAGGGCTTTAATATGTGTGTATATGTGTACTTGTGGAAATCGATGAGCTTCTCGAGCTTGTCGGGTTTCGATAAATCGCTCAAAATCACTCTCAAATCACCGTACTCGTTCATGAAGTTGTACTGTTCCTGCCACTGCGAGTAGATCGGGGCGGTGGCCTCAAGGTCAAGAATGAGACGGTCGACCAGGGCCTGGGCAAATGATACTGTAGTTTCGAGAAACACGTACCTGTCGCGCTCTACACAACTCCGGCAGCTTGCCAGACTTCTTCATCTGCTTCATGTAGACGACAAAAGCTTCCTCCTTGCTGATGCCGGCGTCCGTGTCGTTGAGCAGGCAATATCTCCAGTATGGATGGATATGCCAATGGCCCTCCTCGGCCCAGCTGAGCTGCACCTTGCCGTAGTCGTAGTTCTGGTTCCGGCGTGCGATTCGCGACTCGTCGCCTGCAATTTCGAATATTACGTACTGGCAAGTACCGCGCCCTCCCTTGACGTTTGCGACGGACTGTATTTAACATCTCCTTTTTTGCAAATTATAATGGCCGCTTTAAAGGTAATGACAAGCGCAGACGACTAAGATAAATACAAAAATTTGGGCGGTTACCTTTCGATACAGCCAACCCAAGCACGAAGTCAGAATCCTTGATGCACTCCGAGTAGTAGGTGTTGGTTTGGGGGTACACGCGATCCTGGAAAGAGGAACGTAACGGAATTTTCTTTTTTATCTATTTCTCACGCTCTCCCTTTCTCTCTCTCTCTCTCGCCGGGTCTGTCTACTTACCACCATATCCGAGGCAAAAAGCACATCCAAGGTCGGCGGCTTCGAGTTGTCGCAGTTCAGAACGACGTTGTGCATCTGGAACCGAGAAGTTATCAGCGATAAATCGGAATTCTAGGAAATAGGCACACGATAGATGTACCGGCACAATAGCCAGGCAATGAAAAACTGAAAATTTGACCACGGAAATTATAGTAAAGCTAAATTAAAAAAGCTAAAATTATGGCTCGCGAAACTACTTTGAAGGCTTGAGTCTTGAAACAGGTTTGTTTCTCTCTCTCTCTCTCTCTCTCTCTCTTTCTCTCTCTCTCTCTGTCTCTCTGTCTCTCGTACTCGCTGTCTCTCTATCTGTCTCGCTCTCTCTCCCGTCGTTCTCAGTCCTTTTTCACTATGGATTTTGTATTCCAGTCATTAAATTTAAACATCATAAAAATTGGATTGTGACGTATCTACTCTGTTTTTTTTTGCATCAATCGGCGTCCTAAAGCAGTGCAGCAACTCAAATCCGGAAAGCGACAGCATAACGTACGCGGTAGTGTGGCTACAGACACACGTACAGACAGCCAAACAGCCGCCTCATTCGAGGCAGCCACGAAGCAACAGAATATACCGCAGCACACGAAGCTACGATGGCCATTCCGTGACGGTGCTGGGCACGTTCTACAGTCTCCGATAGATATTCCCTCACATGGTGTCTGAACTGGCGTACACAGTCCGCATACGTACTGCCCTCATGGCAATGGCCGCGGGGCTCGTGGTGCGTCGGGTGGTTGGGGCGTGTCTCGTGAAAGTCGAACGCCTTCAGAATGACCGGTTTTTAGGAGTTGTTCAAGAACAAAGTCTCTTACATTAGGGGGATAAGGATGATCCATACCAAATTGGCATAAGAAAGGTAACTTATCGGAAGGAGAATTTATTTCCCTAGTAGGACGAACCCGAATTGTTTGTATCCTACCGGAAATTTCTAGTAACATAGCGGTTATTTTTTTATCGGTTCTCCAGTTATTTTCGCAAGTTCAATTTATGTTTGAATTGGAGAATCCATCCCTCGGCTATAAAATATCTAAAATTAAATTGGTCAAATTCGACAATTTTTCGAAAATCGGTATTTTTGTATTTTCGTGAAAATTCTGGACGCTTTGCGTTTAGGAATAATGAAAATGAATTATAAACATTTTCTCCATTTATTTTACAAATTGAATTCTTAGAAAAAAAACTCCCGGATCCCTTTAATAAGAGGGTATTCAATTCAGTAAATTTGCGTTGAGGGTGGACGTTCGATTACGCCAGGAAAATGGCGGCCCCTCGGCTCATATCTAAAAAAACAACACCCCGCCCCCCCCGCTTTTTTTTTGTCAAAACTTTGATATATTAGGGATAGCATTAAATAAAAAAAGATTAGCTTGAGTTGATTTCACAGCAGTCTTGTTATTTTACACCCATTATAAAGTGGTTATTAAATGACACTCGCAGGAAGCCAAACCTCGTCCTTCCGGGGTCTTTTAGTAAACTGTAGCACGGCGGAAAAGTGAGGTGAGAAAACATATAGGCCACACTTTTTTGAGAGCGTTTTGAGCGCGAAAATCAAACATCAAGTTTTTGGATGATTAAAGCTGTTAAACTTGGATTAGGCATGGCGAATTAGTTACTTTTCAAAAAAAAACAGTTGTTACTCACCATCCCGTTCTGGCCGACCTCCAGCTCGAGCAGCTCCATGTTGTTGTAGTTTTGCTTGTGGAGTTTGGTGCGCATGTCCTGAAAGTAGTAGATAGTTTTGGCTCGTCTCTCGCTCGCTCTCTCTCGCTCGCTCTCTCTCTCTCTCTCTCTCTCCCTCTCCCTCTCGCTAAAACCTACAATTGGTCTCAGCTGAGGATGGAACATGATGAAGCCGTTGTAATCGAGCATGAAGTAGTAGCTGTTCCCGCCAATCTGAAGATGAAAAAGATTTGATCTCCTCTCTCTATATCTCTCACTCTCTCTCGCTCTCTCTCCGTCTCTCTCACCCGCTCACTCGCTCTCTCTCGCTCTATGTCACTCTCTCTCCACTTACCTCAGTAGGATGAGCAAGTTGACCAAGTTCAGTCAACGGGATGTTGACAGCTGCGACGCCCATAAAGGTCTTGTTGAGCAGCACGGGGTATGACACGGTAGTGACAAACATGCGACTCCGAGCTTCCGCTTTCTTCATGTGAATCTTCCTCTTTGCCGCCATTCGGTTCATTTGGGCGAACTAAAAGGGGGTGATCAGGTTTGCATAAGGGCCAATTCAATTTGAACTTTTTGAAAATCTCTTTCAAATACAACTTATTTTTGACGTCGATACAAAATATCGTGGCGTTTTCAAATTTGTTGAATTTTCAGAATTCAGTGCAAATATATAAATGAACGCTTGAAACAAATTAAAAAAACGTATTTATGTCAAAACAAAACGGAATATTTTCTAAGATTAAGATTTTCGAATGCAATTAAACGTAATTTCTAGGCGAGTTTTACTTAAAAGTTGCAAAAAAATGAGAGAAAACGATACAATTTATGTAAATTTTAGTCCTTGAAATCTCTCAAAAATTAGATCAAGGATTGTAGATATGTTCTAGATTTTCTAAGCTTCCCAAATCCACAAAGGGCCCTCATTTGCATGTACACTGGGCAACTCATAAAAGCCAGAGATGACATGCTTCGTTCCGGGACCCATCTTTGCACTTTTCGCCACAAATTTGCACATGCCACAAAGGTATCCGGCCGGCCATTACTTGTTTTTTTTACAAATTCGGGCTAGCTTCAAAATTTGGTCGGCACATTGAACAAGCCACTTTGCAGGGCAGACGCAATTTTTCGCTTGGTGATATCGGCAAAATTAAATGCATATAAAACCCATTCCGGACTGTGGCATACTGTAATCGGTGTGCCACGCTTACCCACGAGGCCCGGCTGGCCTTTTGGTTTTTCGCCTGGTTCTTCAGGGGATGGGGAATATACGGAAACGCTGGAATTTGGCACTTACCGACTGGTTGGTGAGTGGCGCGGGGTCGGCGAAGCGTTCACGACGAGGTAGGTACTGAAAAATGCTTGATATAAACGATTCAAATAGGAATTGGTGCAAAAAATTTACTTTAGGCCCAGAGAGACAGTGAAAGGAAGGAAGCGAAAGCGTGACCCCGAGAGCGAGAGAAAGAGAGAGAGAGAGAGCGAGAGAGAGAGAGCGAGAGCGAGAGAGAGAGAGCGAGAGCGAGAGATAGAGAGAGAAAGGGAGCGAGATAGAGACAAAATAGAGAGCGAGTGGGCCTTATAACTCACCAATCTCTCTCGATACACACCACTCCAAACTTGGCTCTTCTCGTCGATGTCCTTGTCATGGGCTCCCAACGGTCGGCTCATCACGCGAATGTAGTTCTGAAAACCGGAATGTTTTTATTTGCTCTTTCATTTTGTTACACAATTGGCAAACCTGCTTCATTCTTGGAAGCGGCTAGCGTCTAGAGTAACGTTCCGTACCTGGATCTTCTCCTCGACATCGGCCATATTCTGGATGTGGACCATGTAGCCGCGGTTCTGGCAGGCCATATTCCTGACCTGCTCGAAGTCGATGGCTTCTTCGCCAATCAAGAAGGTGAAGACACGGATCTAAAGGGAACGATAGTTTTTGAGAGAGAGAGAGAGAGAGAGAGAGAGAGAGAGCTCACCTCTCCCTTCGGATTGTAACGCTGGAAGATCTCATGGTAATCTTCTGGTGCGCCGTCAGTGATCAGCGCCAACACACTTTCACATCCGTATTCTGATGTGATCCCCTCGGTGTTGCCCAGCTAAAAACCCTAGTTGGTCCAGGAAATTTTATTAAACTCCTTGAAATTTGTAGGAGTGTTGGGAATGGAGAAGGCAATCCATTTTTCACCTGAAATTATGCAAAAAGAGCTCTAAAAACATTAAGTATGTTGCTTTTGATCGATCTGTTGCTTTTCTGGATGCTTTTTATGAATTTCTACGTTTTGATGAATTGCCGCCTTCTCCATCCCGGAACTTCACTGTTTTTCTCTCAAAAAAACAAATGAAAATCCAATTTTAAAACACGAAACGACACCTCGATAGGGACAGGGTACATACAGAGGGGAAGAAACAAAGTTTGGTAAAATAATCATGTAGTTGATTTAAAATAGTAGGTAAGTTTCACATTGAGAAGCTACAAAAGTACATGCAAGCCAGGCCACATGCAAATTAGGGCGCGTCGATTTCGAGGAGTAGCAGCAGGACTGTCGCTCGTCAGGGGCATCCGGACCTTGATTTTCTTACAGTAAGCGGAGAAGCCGTGCTTGCGCCGGGGAGGAGCTGTTTGTTTTTGAGGGGTGTACGGAATAAGTTATGGAATTTCATGGTTCATTGGAATACTAAAATGCCTAATTCCAAGCCTAAGCTTAAGCCAAGCTTGAGCCAGGCCTAAATCTAAGTCTAAGCTAAGCCTGAGCATAAGCATAAGCCAAAGCCAAGCCCAAACTTAAACCTAAGTCTTAGCGAAGCCGTCTAAGCCTTTACACCTTAAAGAGATCAGGACGGCATCTGTTGAACCCGCCTTGGGGAGGGGGGTTCAACAGGTCCCAGCGCGACCGGCGGCGAGAGAGGGCGCCCAGGGCAGAGGCGCAGAGACATTTTCTTTCCCGCGCGTAATCGATTGACTCATGCCGCCCCTATCTCTTTAAATATTTAAAACGTTGTTTGTATTGTTAAACGATATCTTTCAACCACCGTACACCCCAAAATCCCCAAAAAAGCTCCAAAACCTCCCCAAAAGCAAAGAGTTTCGTCACGGGACCACGACACGCCATCGGAAATTCAGAAGCCAAAACCCAAAATCGCAACCAAAAATACGCTTTAGCCAAGCGCGGGGCCAACAGCCACCCACAGCCTTCATGTACTCGTCGGTGACGATCAGGAGACGCTCGGGGAACTCGATGGTGTGCTTGCCTTCCAGGGTAAAGTTCCGGCCGCTCTGCTCGACCTCGTCCTTGTGCATCCACTCAATATCCCTGGGAAGCTGAAAGCGGGGCCGTGGCGATTTGATTTGGGGGGCGGGACCCGAACCCGGGGTCTGCGCTTGGTGGGCCGGATCTTGCCGACTGCGCCATAGTACCCTAGTTAATATTGTGAGCTAAACATTTAGTTATGGGTATCATTAGACTCGGAATTTTGAGCTTAATCCGAAGCTGCTAACGCGAAAGCTCGAATTCGTTATATTAGCGCAAAAATTAGAAATTTTAAGGATTTCTGAGTCATTGCTAGTATTTAGTTTATTTTTATCAAAGGGTAAGTAATACTCGCAGTTTTAATATGTAAGGAGGCACTCGAATTAACCAATGAGATAATTAATAATTTTGACAATAAAATTTAGTAGCATCATTTTTTTGATTAGCAACCCACGAAATTTTTGAGTTTTGGACGCAAAGCTTGGACAAAGCGACACGGGACAATTTTAGCAACATAGATTTGAAGCATTTTGAAGCGGCTTAAGCATCTTGTAAGCAACATTGAACCAAACAAAGGGTTTTTCGGCTGGCAAGCTAGCTGAATGCGTAAGCTACAGTAATCGATGGACCATTGACAGAAAGCCGTGATTCTTGTTTTTTTCGTTGCTAAATATTTACGGGTAGACTACAGATTCTGAATTTTCAAATGAAAATACCCCTTTCAGCGTGGCGAACGCTTTTTCGATGGCCGCATCGTATTCAGCTTTTCCCTCCGAGGTGATGTTGTTCATTAGTGCGCGGAGGTATCTAAAAAGACATTTTAAAGCTGAGAAGACGGTTAAAAAATACCGTAAGTTATTGTTTTTTCTGAACCATTTTCCAAAAATTTAATTTAGAATTTTCTTAACTGCTACAAATCCTTTTAGATACAACTGCTTAAATCTCAGATCAAAATCGTGAATTAAGAAGAATTAAAAATCTACTTTTTATTCCTCATCGTGGCCTGGAGCATCGGGTGCTGCTTGGAGCATTCTTCATCCAAGAATTGAGGGTTTGCAGCAAACTGAAAAGATCCTTTAAATTCTTGAGATAAAAGCTGTCAGGTTAATCCAATTTTTAATGTATTAGCAGCTCTAAATGTTGATTTTCCATAATGTGCAATTTATTGTATTGCACTTGGCTTAAATTTTTTTTTTGTAATTTTCCGGAAAGTTTCATGACCTAATTCGGTCGCAATGCCCTGTCAATCTGCGCTCTCCCCATTCCCGCCCTTTTGGTATAGGCCCCTCCCCGTGACCCGTACGCATCGGTCTCGTGGTGTAGTGGTTATCACATCTGTCTAACACACAGAAGGTCGGCGGTTCGATCCCGCCCGAGATCATTTTGCGCTTAGAACTTTTTACTTTTTGACAATATGATCATTAGGCCATGTAGGGTATAGCTATAGAGCCAGTATTGTTTTTACTCCGCTACAAACTACAAAATTGGGAAAATATTGCGAAAGGAAAGGAATTTGACCTACCGGCAAAATATTGAAGTAATCATTGTGGGACAAGGTCTCCAAGATGGCTTCGGTGGTTTGTTTGGCAATTTCATACCTGAAAATAGGTGATTAATAAAATTATTGTTGAGACTAAAAGAGCTAGAAAAACGAGAAAAACAGACCGTTGCCCCAGCATCGAGCCGCTCATGTCGAGCATGATGAGCACATTTTTTGAGCAAGTCGCACCGTTAATATACCTTAACAAAAAAATATTCCTTACCAAACACTAAAAACTACCATTCACTGTTCCGGCAGTCAAACAGGTCTAAGACGTCTCGATCGGTCTCGTGGTCCCAGTACCAAGGAGCCGCTAAAGAAATACGAAATTGTCGTGTTTTGAATGATTTTTGATATTTTAGAAACTACCTGGAGGCGTAGAAATAAAGCACCAACCCGGAAAATATCGCATAAACCCAGATTCGGAGCAGAAGAGCTGGAAGGCCAAGTCTCGGGTTCCCTCTCGATTGCTGCGGTACACCTGGTCGATGTCGGACCAGTGGATCTTGTTGAGGAGTTCAGGGTCTGGAAACCACCACAAATCTTAAGTTTTCATTAATGCACGAGATTTAGATCCCAAACCGGGCAAGCTAGCATGAAGCCTTGAGGATGGTTTTGCCTTTCGAAGCTAAAAATAGGCAAAATGCGTGTTGTTGGCAGTTTTGCCTTTTAAAAAAGGTTGGGAGGCTGGCAAAGATTATTGAGGAAAATTTCTAGGCAAAAATATACAAAATTCCAATAAAATTATGCAAGTATTCAAATCGGCCATTGATCCAACACCCGAATTTTCAAAAAATTACTTGTCGAAAACCAGAATTTCGAAAACTTCTTTTCAAAACCTTTTTCCTATTTTCTATTGGTAGCCAGAAGCGACTTTTTAAAATTTGAGTTTGGAGATACGACTTTTCAAAAAAAAAGTGTCTCGGAAATGCGTTAATTAGAAAATTCTAGGTTCCCAATCCCTTTAAAATACTATTTAGCATCTGCTTACCTCGATCATAGATCGGCGTTGGGATATGAACTGCCGAGGCTATTGAAGACGTGCTGAGGAAGTAGAAATTGGCGTTCGCGTGCATCGAAAAGTTCCTAGAAAAATCAATATAATAAAAATTGAATTTCTCAAACCTCGTCGCATTTAAGCTGATCCTGTTGTTAAAGCTGTGGTCATGACGATAGAGAATCCCGCCATCACCTCCCGACTTGGCGCTCATATACCGGATAAAGTTTTTCGAGTCCGGGTTGTTGACCTGAAAAATTTACCTTGATATTATATTACGTTTTAAAGTGATAGGGACACCTATGCAATCTTAGAAATTTTTATCGGTATTCTTAAAGAGGCTCCGAAATCTGGTCCACGGCCCCCTGCCGTGATTCCTGGCAAATAGCCAGATGCGGCCGCAACGCGACCGCGCCGCAGGATCTTTTGCCTCTGTTTGGACGCGAAAACGCTTGAATTTAAAAATTCTGATACTATTTTTGGAATTCTCAATGAATTTTGATCATTCTAGACTTTTAAATTATGAAAATTGGCCAGAGGATCACCGAGATCGAGAGATTGGGTGCCTTACAAGGCATTACGACTGTAATAGTCGCCACTCAAAAATCGTTTTCGCCCCAAAAAGAATTCGGTTTTTCTCAAACATTTTACGTTTTTTCGCAATCAAATCACGTTTTTGGCACTTCTCGGCAGTGACCCTTTCGTTTTTTGACCAGTAGGTTCAATCCCCGCACACACGAATTTTGACTTCTGAGCCCCTTTAAGGAAAAAAATCGACGTAACCCTAAAAATCCCCGCTAGCTTGCCTACCTCAAGATCGGTGCCCTCGAGGAGGGGTCGTGCTTCGAGGGACAGTTTCGCATCCTGAAAATGTATTTTAGAGAGAGAGAGAGAGAGAGAGAGAGAGAGACAGACAGAGAGAGAGAGAGAGAGAGCGTCACAGAGAGAGAGTTACAACTTACATATGCAAATTTCGCCCTCCTCGCCAAATATTTTTCAATGTGCTGTTTCGCCTTTTTGAGCTCTATCCGCGGGTCGTACTGCTCGACCTCGACGTAACCGTCGTAGTACTAAAAAAATGATTTGAGATGGAATTTATAATACATATCAATCGACTCGATTTAAGATTATTTAAAATATTAAATCATACCTCCGGGATATGCTGTGATCTCGTGGCTCGGTTGAACGTCTCGAGCAGGTTTTCGCCGAGAACCGTTGCGCAGTCTTCGATACTAAAATGAAATTTAAGGTATTATCGTGGTTCTAACGGGAAATTCCGTTAAAAAGTTGATAAACAAGCGTAAAATGGATCCCTACGTACTTCGTTTTGTCGAGCGTCGCCCCGTACGTCAGCAGGGCCGCTAGTTTGAGCCATAACCGCCACAGATCTGGCGGCCGCATCCGGCCGCGGCGCTCGAGAAGCTGAAAAAGGCTTGTGAAGTGGCAAGAATTTTTTTTCTTTTTTTTTTTTTTTTTTTTTTTTTTTTTTTTTTTTTTTTTTTTTTTTTTTTCTTTTTCTTCTTCTTTTTTTTTTTTTTTTTTTTTTTTTTTTTTTTTTTTTTTTTTTTTTTTTTTTTTTTTTTTTTTTTTTTTTTTTTTTTTTTTTTGTTTTCCCCCCCATTTTTTTTTTTTAAATCTCCTCTTTTTTTTTTTTTTTTTTTTTTTTTTTTTTTTTTTCCTTTTTTTTTTTTTTTTTTTTTTTTGGGTTGTTGGTTTTTGTTTTTTTTTTTGGGGGGGGGGTTTTTTTTTTTTTTTTTTTTTCTCCCCTTTTTTTAATTTTTTAAAATTTTTTATTTTTTTGTTTTGTTTGGGGGGGGTTGTAAAAAGGGGAAAAACTTTTTCAACCTTGGTTTATGAAAAAAAACACGTGAAAAATGGCGTGAAAAATGGCAAAAATGCGACCAGAAATCAATAAAACGCTGCCAGTTACTGCAATTTCCGAAATGTTACAAATCTCTCCGAAAACCCTTAAGAATTAGACTTTGAAAAAGGAGAACAACAAAAATATGCAAATTTTAAGTAATTTGATGCGAATTACAACCGCAAAGTGTTTAAAATTTGATAGGATACTGCAAAAATGCTTCTCAGAATTTCAAAAAATTTCCTGGGATTTTGGAAGGCGTCCTATAGCCCCCTGGGCCTCCAAGATCCGCTTCTGCCGCCGGAAAGGCGAGAAAATAAGATATTCTCCCGCCCGGGGGCTGGTTGTGTGCGGCTGGTAGGAAGGAGGACGGGTGGGTGGTGTCCGCCAGCCACATTAGGGCCCCCAATCCATGGGTCCGGCCGGACGCCCACGGGCCCGGGGACCCACCGGGAAGGACAAAAGGTGTATATCGGAAAGGGGGATGCAAAGTCAGTGATGAAGCTTGCAGATTGCAGAAACCTTACAGAAATCTGGGCGCGTCAATTTACAATTCGAAGTGGATAGGTAAAGGTGGCTTAAAATTCAGTGCAGCCCCGTAATTATGGCACGTACTGCAAATCAGACCGCAAAAAAAACGCTAATGTGTTTCTATAAATCCTTCTGTTTAGATACTGGAGATATGTTGCTCTAAATTCTTGTAGAACCCTAGGAGGGTATATGTGTAATCGATGCTAAAATGACGTATTCGTTGTGAATTCAAACTTCTGGCCGCGAAAACTACGTTTGAATACCTGTCCCGTGTATACGCGGATTTAAAGTTAATACTCGTTATGCAAGGGTACCTTAACAGTTCTCGAAATGAGTCATCCGAAAGTGACATAAACGTTTCTTCTAATATGCCCATTTTTTAATCCTCATGCCTGATATAATCTCATGCTGTGTTACATCACAGGAATCCGGGAAATTATTCAAAACGCCAGGCGGCCTACTTTCCTTTCGAATTCACTTCTTCATTTTTCTCACTGCATTTTTTAGCTGAAGCAGAAAATACACTTTAAGTCTCAAAATGCCCTAAATTCTGGAAAATGCAGCAGGTAGGAATACTTGAAGCCCGTTTTCCAGGAGCCGGGCAAATTGTCTTTTCAAAACGATAATTTAGCAAATCAGCCGAATTCTGGAACCGCCGAAACAATCGAATGCGCATACGTGAAGTCCGAGGGGGTTGTAGTAAAGGCAGAGAAAAGCAAAATGGGGCTCCCACCGCCGGGGGGCAGGAGGAGGAGGAGAAGCCCAGGGAGGAGAAGGGAGAGGGGAGGGGAACGAGACAACGACTGGGCCCCAAGCCGATGGGGCCCACGGCGGGCCTCACCACACACATGAACTGGACTGAAAAGAGAGAGAGAGAGAGGACTCAAAGCTAAAGAAAAGACGCTCCAGGGCCTCTTTTAGGCTTTTGGGCCTTTTCCTGGGGGTATTCCCCTAGTCTCTTGTTGTTTTCGGAGCTCTTGCTCCCTCTCTGGCTTGGTGTTCTTCCTTGTTTTCTCTCTCTGTCTCTCTGTCTCTCTGGCTTTCTGTTTCTCTTAATCTTTAGCTCTTGCTCTAGTTTGGAGTCTCGTCTGTTCCTCCTGGCGTATGGCCAATTTCTCAAGGTGTGGCGATATCGCAAACTTGGGAAATTCATGGTTTTAGCTAGCATGCCTCGGATGCGGTAATTCGGAGCCCTCTTAATCCAAAATAAAGAAACTTCTTCAGTTCTCTGCGGGAGCGAGCGAACGGAAGAAGGGCAGAGAGAGATGAGAGAGATGAAGAGAGAGACAGAGAAAGGGAGAGAGAGAGAGAGAGAGAGGCAGAGAGGGAAGAGATAGAGATAGCGAGGAAGAGAGAGAGAAAGAGAGAGACAGAGAGGGAGAAAGAGAAAGGGTACTTAGGTCGCATATCGTATCGCAAGTTTCCTTTATCTTCGAGATTTTCGACGTCATTTTTATGCGAATCAATTTTGCCGCTTCCTCGATTGCCCCTAAAAACCAACTTGAAGCTTTCCGGATTAGTTTGCATAAGCCCCGACATCCAAATACGGTATTGCCATAAATACCTAATCTGGCCAGCTCCGTTCCGATCCACCCTACTCGTCGACCGAAAGCACCTGGCTTTAATCAGTCCGCAACCCCGAATTTAGCCCGAGCATGAGAGAGAGAGAGCTAGAGAGAGACAGAGACCGAGGGAGAGAGACAGAGAGAAACAAGGAAACTGAGATAGGCTATAATTTTCGGCAGGTGTTGCCCGAGCACCAGATTAGCGTGGTTCCGCCGGTCCCCGGGGGAATACGGTAGACCATCCGGGCGGCCGTATTTAGCTCATTTTGGGTACTCGCAGAGTCAATTTGTCCCGATTCGACTACGATCTTTTTTTCTGATTTTTTTTAACCTCTAGTGATAATCTGTAAAAATGAGTTCCAGCTCCTGCCCTAGCTCGATAAAAAGCCTTATGTGATTCTGAGCGATTCGGCTTTTGCTTGCTAATATCCAAAGTCGTTTTATCTATCGAAAATTAATCATAAAGACTAATTAAAGGGTTCTACAGCTAACAAGAAATGAAATTTTGCCGATGCACACACGAAAAATTTTGCCGATGCACACTCGGAAAATTTTGCTGATTAGGGCTAGAAATGATATGCAAATTAGCATCCAAAAACACCACGAATTCGCTAAAAAGAATAGCCAAATTCCCGTATTGATTCGTAAAACACGCCGCTGGCAAATTCTCATGAATAGGCAGGGGGGGCAATGTCATTAATTCCGTTGGGGAGGCACCATGTCGATGCCTGGAGGGCATGTATGGAAAATGGAGCTCTCAGGGCAGAAGACTGGCGATTTATCTGCCAGGGTAGGTCTCTATTTTGTTCTCTCTCTCTCTCTCTCTTTCTCTCTCTATTTCTCTCTCTCTTCTCTCTCTCTCTCTTCCGCCGGGGCTTCCGCTATTTTCTACTCGGTTTTCCGGCCCGGACGCCGGACTCCCCGCTAGTCACCAGGCCCCATTCGGGTCCTCCTATTGATCTCTGGGCCCTCTCAGGGCCCTTTGGGTCCCAGGGCATCCCTTTCCCTTTTCCCGCCAGTGTCCCCCGTCCATTGGAAGGTAGTGGAAAATGGAAAATTGGAAGGAAAATTGGCGCGCAGTAGTCAAGTCGCTAATTGGGAAATTAGGGCAGTTTGGGAATTCGGGATATTTGGGGCTTGTGGGGCTTGCAAGCGTTAAAATGCTAACTTCCATCGTATGAAACAACAAATAAAATAATAAAAGCCGTTGCCAAATCATGATGTATAATTTTCAAACTTTCTAATTTCTCCAAACAGTGGCCTTACAAGTTTCTTTTCAAAAAACAGGACGCTTCCGAAGAAAAAAATCGCAAAGAGAACGTTAGCGCCTCTTTTAATGGAAAAAGAACAGATGTAAATGACAGAATATAAATTACTTAACTTAGAAACAGTCATTTAATATAATGCTTGTATTTACAAATATAGATTGCTGAAATACGGCCATTTCCCCAGATTTCTGGCCCTCTCGCGATTTTTGTCAAATAGAAATTGGAAACGGGCCGGAAAAATCGAGCCTGAATTTTATATGTTGTTGTAGGCGAGCTCAATTCACAAAAATACGCAAAATGTAGAAATTAGCATTTTCCGAATAATAGCATTACTATTGGCGGCCTGTGAGTAAAGCCTTGACCCTCGTGGTGGCCAGGGCAGCGCGGCCAGGATAAAAGTGTAATAGAGCCGTAAAACTTTGGGAGACGGCGCGCGTGCATAATTTTTGCGGGGCCGATTGGGGGTGTCCAAAAGATGAAGCCTGCTAGATGTTAAGTTAGGGCTCAAATACTTAGAGAAAGAAAGAGGACGAGAGAGAGGGAGAGAAAGTGTGAGAGGTAGAGAGATAAAGCTAGAGCAGAGTTATAGATAGATAGCCAAACAGAAAGAGAATGAGAGAGAGGGAGAGAGAGAGATAAAGAGAGCGTGAGAGAGCTAGAGAAAGAGAGAGAGAGAGAGAGAGAGAGAGAGAGAGAGAGATGGAGAGAGCGTGAGCGAGATAGAGAGTGCCAGAACGAGAGAGAGAGGGAGTACATAATACACATTTTCCTTGCTCTGAATTCCATTTCAAGGCATTTCTTAGGCTTTTTCGAGAGTAATTCCGCCTCCAAATTTCTACGTGACCAGGCAAGTACCGGAAAAACTACCATGAAGTCCCCAAACCGCGTAGACAAGGAGGAACCAGGGGGCTCCTGGGGAATCCGGGAAATCGAGCTAGGCACATATCCCCGGCAGACGGTCCGAGTTTGAGTTTGAGGATTTCCAAGGGGGGACTCACTTGATCTGCTGCCCCTGGGTGGTGGGAGTGTGTAAACAGTCCGGCCACAAGAAGAAGAAGCATCCGCGAACCGTTTCGCCCCTCGAATATCCAAGCCCCCCCCTAGCCGAGAAGTAGGCTAGAGACATCACTCTGTGACGCCTGAAGGGGGGTAATCCGGGAACGTACTACACCAAAG